CTTAAACCAATAGATTTTTATCTTTCAGTCACGATCCTAAGATTTCTGCCATGATTTTCATACCATAGGAATTCCGAGGGATAAATAGGTACGTCTACCTTTTATTCATTTTCTCAGTAGGTTTTCATGGATTTTTCAAGAGAACAGGACATGTATGTGGAATGCGATCTTCACGAAATGTACCCGTGATGTAATATCCTTTTTACGCAAAAAATAAAACAATGTAATATAAATAGGTTATCAACAAAAAAATGATAAGAATATTCGGGAATAAATTATATCTTTAATCATTGATATTAGTGGAGCAGCGGCTTTAACAAATAAATGGTCACACTGCTTATTGAAAGATGGTCCTTTCCCTTGGTAAAGGTCAAATTTTGCTAAATATCCATCTTTACTATTAAGGAACCATATCTTGAAGCCGAATCACATTGGCTTGCCTCTAATAAACTGTTCAGAACTATGTTTTCCGAAGTACTTATTCATTGATTCTTCATAATCAAGATTAGAGTCAGGAAAAAAATTGTTACAGAATTAATTTGAATGTACCAGGTCTATAAAAGATAGTAGTTTGTCTAATTTTGTGTTGTCGGCATAGTGCATAAATTAAAGGATTTGTTTAAATCTATCTCGTCTGATGCATTAAAGACCCGTATTTCTTAAATCTGCTCCAGAGTCCCATAAATACTTTTTACCTGGTTTTGAATCGTAACCACTTGCAATCAGTATTGCTAATAAGCATCTAATATCATCAGCTGTTATTTTAGGATCTGTCTGATTTTTGAACAGTGCATAATTTCTTGTCTCATTTACCAATAATTCAACAATCTCACTCATCGGAATCAATAAAAGGTTGAGTTTACCGAAAGTACAAGCTTATTATAGCCGCAAATGTCAAATATGGAACAAGAATAGTACATTTTGTTTATATTATGTTATGAATTCTGAAATTTTTGATTTATATAAAACAACAAGGAGTAAATATTTGTTTCTTTGGACATTAATTGCAGTTAATTATTAGAAATTTTTTTGGCAATTGCCCTTAACTTAGGGGATAGATTTGGCAATCGTCAAATCAGCAGTTGCCAGACTACAACAGATTTTTGCAATTAATCTCGAAAGAGACAAATATCTACTCGTTATTGCTTTATATAAATTAAAAATTGCAGAATTCATAAAATAGTATATTCAAAATGTACTTTTTAAAAGCTTTATCACTTTATATTTGAAGCATACAACATATGCATTATAAAAACATGCCAAAACTGACAAACCGAAATATTTTTGACATTTGCGGCTACAGTCAGCTCGTACTTTCGGTAAACTCAACCCAATAAAATTTTCATGTTGATACGAGTATTTACTTTTCAGTGTTCATAAAAAAAATTTAGGAAATGTTCGCGACTCCAAAATAACGAGGTTTCCACCTACCCAAGTAATATTTTCTCTCAAATGAATTTTTTGGGGCAATCGCATTTGAAATGTTTCTTTGTTCACTTCGTGTAAAGTTAGTATTTCTGTATTTACTAGCCCATCTTCTACATTTAAACAAAGTTGAGACCAAGTTAAGTTATCGATAGTACCACCGTCTTTATCCCCAGAATCCTCGTCAGTCAGTTAGGCTCCCTCTGGAGGTTCTGTGAAAATTTCCTCTTTGTTATCAACAATTGCCATATTAAGGGCCTCTCGTAAAGTAAATTTTCGTCTATAAAGAAGCTGTAGATTAAAATAAAATATTGAAACATACACATATTACAGAGTTTATTTATAAATAAATCAAATCAATAATTAAAATAAAAAAGCAATTACGTGTACATAAAAGCCTAGCGATAGGAGAACCTGGCCTAAAATGACATACTACCTTTTTGTCGTCCAATAGCTTTTTTATTTTTTAATAAAAATTTAAAAAAACATAAATGTTGTTCATTGTTTGGAAGTAGAACAGATCATGGAACATAAAACTCTAACAACACAATATTTTTTAATGAAAAAAAGGAAACAAAATAAACGTTGCTATGTCATTTTATCCAAGTATATTCGGCTAAAACGACACACTCACATGGATAAAATGTCATATAAACTAAATTAGCAAAGTTCACAAATAAATTTTTTGCACGATTTTGAGATACCAGCTCAATCACAGTGTGCCCATTTTGAGCATTTTTGGCACCCAATCCAGAATTCTTTGGACCTTGAATGGGAGTACAAACTGTTACAATATAAACATGGAGGATTATTTTCGTCTTCGTCATCATCTGACACAATGGTCTTTGTTTCCTCCTCGCGATCTTGTATCATTAAAGTCAGATTCTTAATTGCTCGCTTTGCAGCTTGACGTTTTTCTCTAGCTAGCTTCTCGAGTGCTTTGGCTTTTTGTTCTTTCATATTTGGGGTAGCCGTTAGAACTTTTGTTCCTTCTGATTTTCATTTTTTGGAGCGTGACTGGACACCTGAACACGATGGAAGAAGTGAAATGTCAAGTGGACGAATACCAGGAATAATTGAAGAACAACTTTCAAGTGAGTTTGGTCTAGGTGTAGAAACCGGTTTGTTTCCTTGATCTGGAAAATCTTGATGTCGCAAAACATTATCATTCTCTTCTTTTGACTCTGTTAGGGGTTGAATTGCAACTTCTTCTTAAATATCTGTTATTTCGGAAGGATTAAATAAATAATCAGGGAATATGTCGGGATTAAGCGGCCAAATTCCATTCTTTAAAAATCCACTAACGGCATTTTGGTGTGTAGCTGCTTTTCCATACGCTGTAGCAAATAATACTCCAATTTGGTATTGCGAAACTGTTCTGCCTGGATGACACTTCATCCACTTGGTAACTTCTTGATCATACCAGCTCTTTAATGGACCAAAGAAACATATATCTAACGGCTGTAGACGATGACTACAGTGCGGTGGAAAACACAATATCACTATTCCATGTTCTTTGGCAAAAGTTAAAACATTAATGTTTTTATGGCTCGCATGCCCATCAAGCAACAGCATAACCTTGTCTTCTATAGAAGGATTAGAATATTCTTTAAAATGTTTCATCCATGTTAGGAACACTTCGCCTGTCATCCATCCTGTTTCCTGTGCTATTCCTAAAGTTCCTAAAGGCGCTTTATCTATTAATTCTTTTTTCCAATTTTTGCTGGGGAATATAAGTGTTGGTGGAACATAATTCCCCACTGAGCTAATGCAAGCAACCATCGTTATGTGCTGCCCTCTTTCCGCACTTGTAATTAGGCCCACTTGCTTCCGACCCTTGGTTGCAAATATTTTGCCGGGTTTTTGGACCGTGGATAGGCCTGATTCATCCACATTCCATATGTGTGTAGGATTAATTTTGTTATTTGTAATAGTATCCTCTAAAAGTTTTAAAACATTGGCAATTTGCGGTCTGTTGAATGATTGCGCTCTTGCTGCAGACGTGGACTCGGGTTTTCTAAGGGATATATCGGGGTGTCTAGACCGAAACCCTCGTAACCAATCCCAACCAGCCATCTTAGTGGTTGTGTTAAATCGGTGAACTATTCCATTTCGATCTGCTAACTGGTAGGTTAAAGAAAGAACGTCATCACAAGATAATCTAAACAAACTTGATTCTAGAAGTTTTATGTGTGTTACGAGGTCTTTTTCCAATTCTACAGAGAACGTAGTTTCGTACCGGCCAAGACCTTTATTAGTACCTGATACCCGGTTATTCTTGTCTGATGCTCGTCTTCTTAAAGTAGCTTGGGGCACATTAAAAGTTATCGATGCTTTTAACCAGCCTATGTCTCCACACTGGACTGCCTGGATGGCTCTTTGCATTTGTACTGGATCCCAAGACTGGCTTGTACTTTTCCTTTCGTAGTGTCCACCGTACTAAAAAAGAAAAATACCATACATTAATATTCTACCTACCATATTATTATTAAAATTTATATGGGTATAAATGACATACTATGTCATTTTATCCGAGTATTTAATATGTCGTTTTACCCAAGTGTGAACAAGAACACGTTTTTTACAATAAATTTTTTGTTTAAACAAACAAAGCTTCCAAACATGATGTTTCTGTTAATATACATAACAATACATACCTGGAACTAACTGAGATATAAAATTTTAAAGTTTTAAACGTTTTATAGCGAAGTATACGTCGCCTACCAAAATATTTTGGTACTCAATGAAGCACAAACCACCTTTTAACAAGTAAACGACTGAAGTGATCGCGACGCCCGTTGGAACATCAATTATGCACCACGTGATGCTCTTGTATAAAACTTCTTAGCGCATAGCCATGTTGCCAAGTTAGAGATACACCGGATGTGTCATTTTACCCTAGTAAAATTTTGGGCCAGGTTCCCCTACATATATGGAACACTCAAATTTTGATTAGTATAAATCACCCAATATTTAAAAGTATGAGATTGTTTTTAAATTACATGAATATAATATGATTAAATTATTAACCAAATCTAAAAAAATTGTTATCGTAATTATTCTAAATAAAATTTTAATGTACATACTTACTCAAATTGAATAACAAGTTCCATTTTCTGAAAGAGAATAGTATAAATTTTAATGTAGTTGTTAGCACCAACTACGTTAATTAAACTAAACAAAACTTGCGTGGGCGTGAACACTAATGTCTGCCGTATGAACCGTGCCGCCATCTATCCGTTAGTAGTTCTACAAAAAAAATTACAATGGATAAATTTAATCTTGCCCTGCGTTAGGTACTCTATTCACTAATGGGTTAAACTACTTACGTGCCCTATTTTAAATAATTTCACAGCCTACCGTTTTTGATTATATGGTATAAGTTATAAATTGTTTACAAATTTTCTTAAATTTAAAAATTAGAAAGTTTTACTAGTTACTATAGTTCATGACAATGTGATAGTCTTGAATTTTCTCTTAAAAGGACAATTAAAAATTTATTAAATAATTTTTATTTTAGGTACATTTTACGATAGGTTGCTAAAAAATGTAAACAATGAACTATTAAAAGAAATATGGAAAATGGTGATACGGAAACATCTCACCTTAGTGGAAGCAATTTTTTTGCGAATCTGTTTTTTTGGTAAGATAACTTATTCATTTTAATATACTTTTTTAGATCTGCAGAAAAAAATTTTTGTATCCCTTTAATTGCAGAAACTTCTTTAATGATAAAGCGTTAAAGTTAAAGTGATATAGTTTTCAAACTCATATTCGCCAATATATAACCTTGTCACATTAACTTTTTTTTTGGAGCATATTAGGCATTTTGTTTTATTTTGATTTATTGTCAAACTTCTTTTGGATGCTTCCTTATACAACTTCAAAAATTATTGTTTTTAACTGTTTAGGTGTCTACTAATGAATGCTATGTCATCAATGTACGCTGCAAGTTGCGACATCGATGTTATAATTAATGTAGCTTTTATTTCTGTAGCTACTGCTATTGCTGTATTTCTCTATTTTTGGAGAAGCCATAATTTTTTATTTTTGCTGCCGTCGATCCCTCGATTATCATTGTCCTAAGCTTTGCAAGTTTCATTAGAATATCTAGGTTTCCTCGTCATCTATTTGGTGGGCACGCATTGGGCTGTCAGATGCTTTTTTGAAATGTATAAAAAGGATATGTAAGTTACATTTCTTAATTAACTGTGTTATTATGTGTAATACGTCTATTGTTGACATTCATTCTCTAACTCCCTACTGATAGTCCCAATGTGTAGTTATCTGCGAAAATCTGTTTAAAATAAATTTAAATAAAATAAAATTGATTTTAAATTCAAATGTCACAATAAATTTAGATGGAAGTAGGATCGAAAATGTCTAAGAATATATATTTATATATATATATATATATATATATATATATATTATATATATATATATATATATATATATAAAGTAGTTAGGTATTATTGACTGACACGTTATGTAAAATAAAGTTTTATTTTGAGGATGCAGTCATTTAAGTAGGGCAGGATAAGTAAAACTCTTTGTTCTTAAATCATTATGTATATATATATATATATATATTATATATATATATATATATATATATATACAACTAGTTCCCACGATTAAACTGATAAAACTAAAAGGGTAATATAAGTATTACTCACACCTCCCCTGAAGAAGTCAGACAACTGATTAAGTGTACCAACGCCAATAAAGCTCACACACACACACACACACACACACACACACACACACACACAGACACACACACACACACACACACACACACACACACACACACACACACACACACACACACACACACACTACAACATACACAACACCCTAAATTTTTACCTAAATTTACCATAAAAATTACAATAGAATTAGTTAATAAAATAAAATATTTTTAATTACCTAACGACTCCAGATTAATTTCTTTTGACGTAAAAATTTTTTTTCCTAGTATTCCTCCTACAGAAACTTATATCCTATTAAAAAACCTTTTAGACCAAAATAGTACAAATCCAATCATAACTTCTGAAATTTTACATCTTCTTGAAATTTGCATAAAGCAGGACTACTTTGAATTTAATAATCAAATATATACAAATAACAGTGCAGGACTTCCTGCATCCTGAATAATGGACAATCCTCTAAGCCCATTCCTATCAGATATTTTTATGGATCATCTGCAGACAAAGATTTCAACTAATCCCATATTCAAACAGTTTTTATATTGGTGGAGATACGTAAATGACGTCCTGGTTTGTTTCACAGAAACTAAAATGCAACTTGACCAAGTTTTATCGTATATTAATTCACTTCATAGTCATATTGAATTACAATATGACTATGAAGTCAAATACAATAGTAACAAAACAAAATCAATCCATAATTTTTTTAGATTTAAGAATTATCAGACTTAAAAACAAACACGACTACTCCATATTTCATATACCTACCCATACTGACACGACTATACACAATTCATCATCCCATCACACATAACATAAACTGACAGCGTATCATAGTATGTTACATAAATTAACAGAAATTTCGATGTCAAAATACAACTTTGATACAGAATTAAATAGGATAAAGTAAATAGAAGTAAAAAATTTTAAATAAAAAACTATTCAAGAAAGCCCTGAAATTAGTATTTCGACCACCAGAGAAAAAACCCTGTACCTTCTGCTCTATTACCACCAGCTTTCAGAATACATAATTACTTGGGCAGACATATTGAAAACAACAAGAGCCAAAATAAAAAACACTTACACAGTGGTGTGTACTTAAATGTGGCGGCTGTCCAAGAACATTCATCGGTCAACTGGTAAAAATTTTAATAAACGAATAGCAGAACATAAATGGGCTTTCAATTATAGAAAAACAGATTCTACATACGCACTTCACCTTCTAGATCACAATCATTCTTTTAATGACAAATTTAAAATTCTTCACATTCAAAATAAAGGCCTTTAGTTATCTTTGTTAGAATCTATGGAAATCAACAAATTAAAAAACACAGTTATAATTCTGAATAACCAACTTGAGACAAACAGTTCTACCCTCATCAACCTATTTCATTAAAGACTATAAAGTGTAAACACATGCCAAAAATAGATCACTTACGAAATTCAATCAGCCGAAACAGCAAATTTTTAAAACAAAGTTTTCAGTGTTTTATTGTTACATAAAATGAACTTCCATCAAGTAACGGTCGAATCCATCAATTAGATATTTTAGTACTTTGTATATCTATTTTGAATATAAATTATCTTTAGCACGGTAGTATTTGTTTTAGAAAAAAATTGAAGACACGAGTGGATGAAGGTACTATGTAACATCTTTCTAAAAACGGTTTTTTTGTATGGATGAAGGTATTATGTACCTGTTTATCACGTGACCACATTAGAATTCTAAGATTCGTAACAGAAGTCTAGGTTTTTTAAAGGATGAAGGAGTTATGTTACATTATTTTCCAGTGAATAATGGAAAAAGGTGTTATAGGCACAAAATACCTTCATCCACATTCATGTAATATTTTGTATACCTTCGTCATATGAATGATGGTGTTAAGTGACACACATAACCCCTTCATCCACTCACTGGCCATTTTGTTTTACTTGGTGAGTTGGTATTGCGCGCACGTGTTCTGTATCCTTATTACAGTTTTTTGCAGTAATATCATAATATTAATGCTAGTTAACATTTATAATGAGTTCCAGAGGTAAACAAATGTTAAAACTAGTGCAGGAACAAATAAACTGTGAACAAAATTTGCCAAATGATGAAAATGAATTCACAGCAAGTTCTAACCTCAACATTGAAATTTCAAATGTAACAGGTAAGTGCAATCCTGTTGTTATAAAATAATTAAGTTTTATTATATTTTGGGCAATAGGTATTTAGATCATAATATTTATATAAAAGTGTAAATGAGCTGGTTGAAATACATAACCCAACTATCATCTGTTATAAATATTTACACTTGATTGCTCCGGGGATTCCCCTATCTTGTCAAAAGTAATTTTTAAACAATAATAATTAGGAAGAATTAAAATATAAGTATAAGTAAATAGCTGTTTTTATTTTCAGATTTGGAGGGGACCCAACCATTCTTGTCAGACAGCAGTGGTGATGCTGAATACTTTCCGAGTAATGAGACAAAGAAGGAAGCGGCATTATTCAAAAGCCTATAATTAATCCTTCTAACGGGTCTAACGAGGTTGACCAAGAAAATGAAAAACAAAGAAAGCAACACATTTTTTCAACGACAGCAAAAGTTTCCAAAAAACAAAAATGAGATCCAAATACGTGGAAGAAACGCAAAGCAGCTTTAGATAGAGCAAAAGGTAAAGAATATTTGTCTTACAAAAACATTCCCGTTCCAAGAAAGGAGCCAGAAAAAGGTATTCTTTGTAGACAAGGCTGTAGATTTTCTTGTAGCACTAAATTTTCAGCAGATTACAGGAAGGCATTTTTGGATGAATTTCATAGACTTGATATTAATGCAAAAAATGCTTTACTATTTAAATCAATCATTAAAAAACCAGTGTTGAGGGAAAGAAAAGATGCTGTTAAACATAAAACTGCGTCATATACGTATAACGTTACAAAAAATGGAATTACCGTAAAGGTGTGCAAAGAAACGTTATGCGCTCTATACCAAATAGGCAGAAAAAAACTTGATGTTATAAAGAATCGTATAAATAGTGGTGTAGCAGCACCTCCTCCAGATCGCAGAGGTAAGCACTCCAATAGGCCACACAAAATAGGCCAAGATGTTAGGGATTTTGTGATAGATCACATAAATAAATTTCCTGTAGAAGAGTCGCACTATTCCAGAAATAGAAATCCTTATAAAAAATATCTTTCTCCCCTACTAAATGTGAGCAAAATGTATGAGTTCTATCTTGAGGAATGTAATCTGGCACAACTTCCTGGAAAATTTAGAATTAAAAAATGTTCATATTCCACATTTTTTCGCGAGAGTTTAATTTATCATTTGGGTATCCGAAAAGTGATACGTGTAGTATCTGTGATAGAGGTGAATCTAACGATGGACATAAAGAAAACTACACAGCGTCAACTAAAGCCCTCAAAGTTGACAAGGAAAAAGCAAAATATTCAGACAACTTGGTCTATATTATAATCGATATGCAACAAACAATGCCACTGCCAAAAATAACAACGTCCAAAGCATTTTACCTTAGGCAAATGTGGTTTTATAATTTTGGGGTGCATATTACTACAAAAGGCCTAGACAAAGCATGTTTTTGTACCTGGACCGAAGATCTTGCAAACAGAGGAAGTGCAGAAATATGCAGTTCTCTACTTAGATATATTGAAGTCGACGAAAGCATCACCAAAAAGGATTATCTGATCATCTGGTCCGATTCATGTGCGGGCCAGAACAAGAACTTCCACATGATTTGCCTTTATCAGTATCTTATTTTGAAGGGATACTTCCGTTGTATTGACCACAAGTTTCCTGAGGTTGGCCATACTTACTTAGATTGTGACAGAGACTTCGGAAGAATAGAGAAGGTTTTACGAAAACACGACACGGTATATGTACCAGATACGTACCGGGAAATAATTTCAAAGGCTAGCCGAAAAAATCAAGTCATCGACATGGCTCAACACTTTAGAAGGATTGCTGATCTACCGCAAAAACTTAATCTTACTAACAGAAAAAAGGACGAACTAAATGAAACAGTCAGATTTAGAGACGGTATTAAATGGATAAGAGTGGAAGAGTATGATTCCTATTTGTATAAAGAATCATATGACGAAACAGTTCCTTTTAGAAAAGTAAATATTCTTCAAAATAAGAATAGAACAGCAGCGCCAGAGAATATTGAAATCGAAAGAATTCGGGAAAAATATGGAACTATCTCTGAAGAAAAAAGAAAAAATCTCCAAGAACAGCTTAAGTTTGTAAAACCAGAATATCGATATTTCTATGAACCAATCGTAGAAAAAAAAATAATGTATTACGGTATATTACTGTTATTACCTTATATTAAGCAATAACATCTTGTTAGCTGATTAGATAAGTTTTTCTTTAATACATGATACTTCCATAAAACAGTAGTTGTTTTAATTTCTTTAGAATTATACAGTGGATGAAGGTGTTATGTACTGTTTTTTTTTAAATTTTGGTAAGACACATTTTTTTTGTTGATATTTTTTTCCGTGAATAACATATTCCATATACTAGTAACGACATAGAAAAGTTTTTACCTAATAAAAGTGAATGTGAGAAAAGTTTACAATGAAAAACTTTAACCTTAATTTTCTCAAAATCTAAATTTTGTAACATAGCACCTTCATCCACTCGTGTCTTCAATTATTAAACAAGTAGATGAAATAAGTGTACGTTAAATAACATGCAAGCATACTATTTATTAAAAAAAATGTAACAAAATAGGCAGAACTTTGAACAACGGGTTAATGACACCATATATTTATTATATACCTAAAATTTAGCAAAGTATTATTCTCTATATAAACATTATAGAGAACACCAGTGCAGTTTACCGTGCCTTTTACTACAACGAAAGGTTTTCTGCGAATTCCATTAATCGTTTTGAGGTGTAAGTTGGTTGAATATACTGTATATAGTACAAAAGTCATTGTTGATAATATTTTGATTCACGTATTTCTCTTTTTATATTTTCAGTTGGTTTCCGTCATTTATAGCTGCTGGTCTTAAGAAAGAAATCGGTGAAGATGATATGGGTGTAATAAAACCACACAAATCCAAATATTTGTCTGATAAACTAGAAGCTTTATGGGACAAAGAATTAAAAAAGTCAAATCCTTCTTTGTTGAGGGCGTTATTTATACTTTTTAAATATGAACTACTCTCGGCAGGACTTTTACGGATTTGTCTTGATTCCATTAAGTAAGTTTTATTCTGGATATTTTTATATGTTTTCACTTTAATTAAAAAATTTCTATAACTCCGCAAATAACTCTAAACTTGTTGTTATTTATACTTTTCAGAAACAAACTACTCTCAATCAATCTTTTACAGATTTTTCTTGATTTAATTAAACAAGTTTCATTTCAAGCATACTTATATTTCTTTGCTTTAATTAAAAGATTTTAAAGCTTTAGCAAATACCTTAAATTTGTAAAAATTATTATGTGAGCAACCTTATAACTACCTAGATTTTTTGTGTGATATTTTACACGTTATTGATTAACTGTGTAACCCTACTCTCTTGTTGGGGCAAAAATTAAATTTTAATTATGATATGTTCGGGTCAATATGCCCTTGTATTCAACACCGAAAAAAGTCCCTTTTGTTAATACTATTATATATTTCATCAGTATTTGTCAGAAATCCGTATATAAATAAAAGCAGATTTCAGTAAGCTAGAACTTTTTGTAACAGTAAGATTTTGTAGTGTTTTTTTCTTTTGAAGTATAAACATAACTATAATGGACTAAATATAGAGACTCTAGGGCAGGGGTGCTCAAACGGTCGATCGCGATTGACTGGTCGATCGCCGAGAAGAAAAAAAATTTTAATAAGTAGGTTGGTAACTAAACTACTGTCAGCAGAGTTAAACGTTTTTATTAATACTGAACTATACAAATACATAGAATGCTTGACTAAGCATCATTGCAATTCAAAGAAGTGGGGACAACAAAATACTGTCCACACAGCATATTTTATATTTACATATATTAACTAATTATTTTATTAATTCAAGATTTATTATAATTATTAATCAAAATTGGGATGATATTCTATTAACTACAAAAATGTATTACGTAATAAAATAACACTGCTTGCGGCAAAAGGTGGCTTTATCAATGGAACGCGCGGCACTTGTCAAAGAAAAACCGTGTTGCTTCTAGACGAGAGACAGTACAGTCTAGTTTAGGGGCAACGCGTTTGACGGAAACATTCGAGACTTTCGTTTACGCCGATATAAATGTAGCGCCTGCAGGAAATGGAGTTATTCTGAATTGTAACTTGATGGCGATCCTACGTCGATACAAAGTTTATTATTAAATAGTGGAAAATGAGTGCAGTGAAGAAACGTATCATTTTAATAAGGATTGGGAGGAAGAATTTTTCTTTTCTATGGTGAAGGATAAGTTCATTTGTGTTATTTGTCGTGTGTCAGTTGCAATACCTAAGCATGGTAGCTTAGAGAGGCATCATAAAACGGTTCATAAAAACTATGAAAAGGATTTTCCGCCACAGAGTGAATTAAGCGAACGAAAAGTAAGTGATTTAATATCTTGTTTGAAAAAAGAACAATCAATGTTCACAAGACCAGCCAAACAATCAAAAGCTGCTACGATCGCGTCATTTAAAATATCTCATATTTTGGCGAAACACAAGAAACCATTTGAAGATGGATCGGTGGTGAAGGAAGCATTTATTGAAGCGGGTGAGACTTTATTTGGAGATTTTAAAAATAAAACAGAAATCATGTCTGCTATTAGAGAACTTCAGTTATCTCGTCCGACTGTCACAAGGCGTATTGAAGTCATGAGTCAAGACATCGCAGATAAACTAAAACATGATATCATGAAATGTACATACTTTTCTTTACAGTTCGACGAATCCATCGATATGACAGACACTGCCCAGCTGTGTATTTTTATTAGCATGGTATTCAATGACATGTTGGCTAAGGAAGAATTTTTGACAATTATTCCTCTGAAGGGGAAGACCCGTAGCGAAGATATATATGACGTGTTCTTAAATTTTGTAAAAAACTACGAGCTACCAATATATAAATTAATGTGCATTACAACCGATGGAGCACCAGCAATGACTGGAAACAAAAACGGTTTTGTGGCATTGTGTCGAGCTAATGAAGAATTCCCTTTATTTTTTTCATTCCATTGCATTATACATCAACAAGTTTTGTGTTCAAAAGTTTTAAACACGAAGGAAATTATGGGCATTGCAACAAAAATTGTGAATTCCATCAGTGCACGTAGCTTGCAACGGCGGCTCTTTCAGTTGCAGTTGGAAGATAGGGAGTTAGCTGAACACACTGATTTAGTTCTTCACACGGACGTCAGGTGGTTGAGTCGCGGAAAATTCCTAGAAAGGTTTCAAGAATTATTGCCCGAAATAACAGCTTTTCTAGACAAAAGAGGTGATGACACTCAGATTTTGAAAAATGAAAAATGGCTAAATGATTTGGCATTTTTGACTGACATCACAATGCACTTAAACACCGTTAACTTGGAGCTTCAAGGTAAAGGAAAAACTATTATTGAGATGATTAGCGCAGTAAACGCATTCAAAAGTAAATTGCAACTTATGATAGATCAACTGAAAAGAAAGGATCTGAAACATTTTCCGTCTTTGAAAGCTAGGATTCCTCAGTTGAATTATGATACGTATGAGGCTGAATTATCAAATAATTTGGGACAATTCGAAATGCGTTTTTATGATTGCAGTAAATTGGAAAATATAGCATCATTGAGTTATCCTTTTTCATGTAAAAACATTGAGGAATTAGCTACTGAAATAGCAAGTCAGTTTAATATGAACTCATGTTCTGTTGAAAATGAGTTGGTGCAGATTATATCAGATATACATCTCAAAGCTACAGTATTTGATACAAATTTCTGGCGTTTTATATCTGAAGATAAATATCCGAATGTAAGCCAAATCGCTTTTCAACTGACGGCATTTTTTGGGTCAACTCACTTGTGCGAGTCTGCATTTTCTGAAATGAAGATAATTAAGTCAAAATATCGCAATCGACTAACTGACGATCATATGACATCATTCTTGCGATTAGCACTCAGTGGTTACGTACCATCTTATAAAAAGTATGCTGAGGACATGCAGTGCCACGCTTCAACATCCAAAGCCACTACTTATTTAAGTTTAACACCATATGTAACTTTTTTGTTTTGTAACAACAATAAACTCGCAATTTTTAATAACTATGAGTTTTTTCATTGATATTGTAGAGAAGAACCTAACTAAACCTAACCCAAATCTTGGCTAAAATAATGTACCTATATTGTGCAGAAAGCTAATATATATATATGCTACGGTACGCCCTACCTAGATAGGTAGGTGTATCGTGTATGTACGACAACCCTGCATCACACACACTTGCAGTCTCTCAAAGTCGATCGTAAGTAGTCTAAAAATATTGAGGTAGATCGCCAGCAGTTCAAGTTTGAGCACCCCTGCTCTAGAGTTAGCCCTAGACTCCAGCACAGATCAGAGGTAATGTAAGTCGACAAAATTTCACCAGTTCCTGGGGGTCATGTTAGATGCCTCCAGTTGTAGTTTTTATTAATTACCGAAGTTAACGGTCTATTGCATTTACCTTTGTAAATTCCACGAGGATTGTTTTTGTTACTGATGTCCTTCTAGTGTTTTTCTGTGGCCAAACAATGTTTTTTAACAACTTTTTTATTAAACTGATGATGAAATGATTTAATTCCGAAAAGATCTTCTTTAAAATAAAGTTTTAAGCTTGTAATAAGCATTTTTTATACTTAAATACACACGAACACCATGTGCATTATATTCAACAGGTATACTAGCCACTCCCGGATATCTCCATCTCATGGTTTTGTTCCAGTTTCACTTTTAACCGTTTGCTTTACTTTATCACTTAAATCATAAAAACAATTTAATAAACCTTGTCGCTTATCTTCTGAAATTTGTTTTGGATATCTTAATCTACACCTGTTGCAAAGAGCCTGCCACGATTATGCTTTATGATGTTTTTGAAGACGAGAGACATATTCCTGGCCAGAGTTAATTTTATTATTTTTTTTAGATTTTTTTCCAGTTATTATCATTGCATTGTCTCTTACGACTAAGAATAAGTAACACTTTATCACCATTCTCACAGTTTACTAACGTGCGAGTAGGTACAGGAACATCTTCATTAGTTTCTGCTACATAATCTAAATCTGAATCACCATTATTACAGTTTATCAATGTATGGGAAGTTGCACGAATACCTTCATCAGTGTCTGGTACATAATCTGAGTCTAAATAAAGGGGCTCAAAATCTCCATCATGAGCTGGACTGTCATCTGAAAGAAAATGACTATGCTTTATCAATTCAATATGTCATAACTACGTAGCATTTTCAATTTCATTGATTCTTTCAAGTATATTGAAAGCTCCTCGTATAATGAAATATATGGAAATCGCCTTATATATGTTTAAAAAATAAAACGAGGAATTTTTACCGTGTTTGTTAGTTCGTATCTTTCGAGTTTGAAATACGCATAATTGTCTTGGCATTGCTGGAGGTTAATGTAAACCATTTTAGAGTTGTTTATTTTAACTTTCTTGGCAATTTGTTTTAATGTTCATTGGAAGGCGCGTTATAATTTCAAATACGTCGCAAAAGGATATGTACGTCGTTTGGTTGTGTTTCGCTATTTCAGCGTTTTGTGTTATTTTCAAGTTAGGATCGAATTTTTAAATTCGTCATTCATACTCGGACCTTCATAGTGTTGAGATGAATCTTGATTCATACTCGGGCCTTCGTAGTGTTAGGAGGTATGGATCCGCAGATTCTCCATCGAATTTGTGTTCTTCTGTTTTTTTGGTCAATTTCATGGAAATACGTAGCAGTAGTCGTGAAATTTTATCCGTCATGAAGTGACCGGCATAATTTGCCAAAATTGGTGGAGTTTTCGCTCGATGTAATATGTCATCTTAGAAAGAGTGACCACTGTTTCGTTTTTTTTTTTGAAGATTTTAAGATGTTTAAAAGTCTAGTTCCTCATCCTGTTCCAGCCCCTAATGGATGTTTTCGCTGATGATATATCAGAGATACTCCATACTCCATACTCCTACTATACTCCAGAGATGTGAGAAGTTTTTTTTTTGTTAAGTGAAAATCAAGGTAACTGTTTTTTTTTGTGCTCAAGATTTAAAGTAAAAACAGACAATTTTTTTATAAAATAATAATTGCTTTCGTTGAAATTTAAAAATTGTTACATATAAAATTGTAAATTGGTTTTAAGGTTTTGAGTTGAGCTGTCAATTTGTGTGTTTAGTTTTTTTTGAAATTTAATAAATAATTCTTCTACTGTGGAACCACACCATTGTCTAATATTACGCAGCCATGAAAGTTTCTTTTGATCAATCCATCTCTTTCCTTCCACTTTTTCTTGTATTATAAGGCAAAGTAGATGGTATTTAGGTCCTCTAATTATATGGCCAAAGTATTCTGTTTTTCTCCTCTTTATGGTGTTTATGAGCAGACGTTCTGAATTGATCATTTGAAGAACATCTTCATGGGAAGTGTGCGAAACCCACGATATCTTTAGGATTCGTCTATATCACTACAATTCGAATGCTTTTAACTTGTTTAGCATTGTGGTTTTTAACGTCAATGTCTCACAACCATACAATATGATAGACCATACATAACATTTCAGGACCTTCGTACGAATATTCATCGACAGGTTTCTGTTGCATAAAACTGGTTTCCAGGTCATTAAAGCCTTACGTGATATTTCGATCCTGGTTATTATCTCTTCATCAGAGTCGCAATTTACATTTAACCAGCTGCCAAGGTATTTGAAATGATTTACCCTTTCGATCTCTTTTTCATTAAGAGAAATCAGACCTTGATCTATATTGATCTTTCCAACTGCCATCCACTTTGTCTTTGAGATGTTGATTTTAAGGCCTCTCCTATAACTTGCTTCACTGAATAGATTTAGTAATGTTTGGAGATCTTGTAAATTTTCTGCAAGAATGGCTGTATCGTCAGCGTATCTAATATTGTTGATTACTTCTCCATCTATTTTTACTCCCTCTTGTCTGTCATCCAAAGCCTCCCTAAAGATTTTTTCAGAGTACAGACTAAAAAGAATGGGTGACAAAATATAACCTTGCCGTACTCCAAGTTTGATGGATATTTTTTCAGTCGGACTGTCTCAAATTTGGATAGAGGCTACTTGATTATAATATAAGTATTTCAGCAGTCTTATATCATAGTGGTCAAGTCCTGCTGCCGTAGACAATCGAAAAGTGTATCGTATTGTACTCTGTGGAACGCCTTCTCGAAGTCGATAAAACAAACATAAACATTCTTTCGGAATTCACAACTTTTTTGTAATAGAACGCGCATACAGAATAGTGCCTCTCTAGTTCCTAGACCGTTTCTAAATCCATATTGCTTATTACCCATCCTACTTTCGCATAGAAGGAATACTCGGTTTTGTATAATTCGTAAGAGTATCTTCAGTGTGTGACTCATCAAACTGATTAGTCTAAAATCGCTGCATTTGGTGTGCCTGCTTTTCTTTGGTAATTTTATAAATCAATATAAGGTTGAATGTTCGAATAAATGAACTTTGATGGTACACAAGGCAAATATCGAACACAGTATTTAATTAAATCTTGCCCAAGTACTTTCGATCACAAGATCATCCTCAGGGGCATTTCGTCAATTGTGGCCTATCCAGCAATAACCGAATGTCATACATGTAAACTGGGACATAACAAATACATACACTAAAGACAAACAAACACTTTAAAATTTAAATCGGAGAAGCTACATTTTTATATTATAGAAGCCGGAGACAGAATGTCATTCTGTCTCCGGCTTCTATAATATAAAAATGTAGCTTCTCCAATTTAAATTTTAAAGTGTTTGTTTGTCTTTAGTGTATGTATTTGTTATGTCCCAGTTTACATGTATGACATTCGGTTATTGCTGGATAGGCCACAATTGACGAAATGCCCCTGAGGATGATCTTGTGATCGAAAGTACTTGGGCAAGATTTAATTAAATACTGTGTTCGATATTTGCCTTGTGTACCATCAAAGTTAATTTTATAAATATTTACTCTAACCAATCATCTGGTATTTTTCCTTCGTTGTAAATTTTTTTGAAGAAAGTGGTTAAGCAGGCAATGCTTTCCTCATCTAAAAGTTTAAGTAGCTCAGCAGGGATTTGATCTGGTCCAGGTGCTTTGTATCTTTTCCAGTGCAGTAATGTATCTTTTCCATTATTTGCACTGTTCTAGGTGATCACAAATTTTTCCGTCCTCGCTTTTAAGTATGTGAGCATTTTTCTGTTTTCTAATTCCGGCAGTATATTTTAGTTTATTGTGGAGATTTAAACTGTCATGCTTTTTTTTGAGGTCTTCTATTTCTTTACATAATTTCTCAAGCCAGGATTCTTTGGCTTGCTTAATTTTTCTTTTTATGCGTTTATTGATTTCACGGTATTCGATAATATTTTTATTTTTGTGTTGCCGTCAAACTTCCATCCACTCATTTTTTGCCAACATGGTAGGTGTTTTCAAAGACTCGTGTTTTCGTTTGGTATATTTTATATTCCGTGTATTTTACTATTTATCTGATGTGATATGTATTCGTGCGTTTGAGGGTTTTTCAGGGGGTCGAGATATATCTTACAAGGCTTAGTTGGATTAAATAGCACTGGAGACAAAATGCATCCCTGTCTCACTGCTCTATCTATGGAGATTGTCTTGGTCAACTAGTCATCCACTTTAATGTTAGCAGTTTGGTTGTAACATAAGTTATATATAATTTGCAAGTCTCTATCGTCCAAGCCCGCTTCTTTCAAGAAGGATATGAGCCTGTCATGTTTTACTTTATTAAATGCCTTTTTGTAGTCGATAAAACAAATATATACATCACAGTTGATATCTGTGCACCTTTGGATAAGCACTTGTATAGCAAATATAGCTTCTCGGGTGCCTAAGGTATGGCGGAATCCAAATTGTGCCCATAACTCTTGTTCTTCATATTTTTTATATATTCTGTATCACTTTTAAAAACGTTTTAAGTAAGTGTTTCATTGGGATAATTATTCTGTAGCCTTCGCATGTTTTTACTTTTAATTTTTTTGGTATAGTTACGAAGGTCGACTTTAACCAGCTTTGATGAATTATATATTCTGTTAAATATGAACGTTATCCATTATATTCCTTTTTCTTCCGTAAGTTTCAGGAAATCTGTATAAAATTTGTCAGATTCTGCAGCTTTACAATCTTGATTTATCCCAACAGCTTAACCCCAATGGTGATCGGGGGTCCTGTTTGGCATCCTATGTATTAAATGGCAATCCGCTATAAATCAAAGGAATCAATTTTCTTTTCAAAGTAGAAAATAGTTTTACCATGTGAAGTATACCATACCGAATATCAAGAATACCATTTCTATTTGCCAAATGTTATACTTAATATACACTAATAAAAATTATTCTACTCTGCATCTATCCTCTATTGTGTTTATTTTGTAACGTGTTGATTTTTATACTTAATACTTTTTTCAGAATATCGCAACCTGTTTTAATTTCAACATTGGTTTTGTATTTTGGACCTAACCAACAAGAAGTTTTAAGACAAAACATTTATATATGTGCGACGTTATTAGTTATATCATCGCTTTTACAAGTATTGTGTATTCATCACAATATGATGTTAGTGTTAACTATAGGAATGAAAATAAGAATAGCAGTATGTGCTTTAATTTATAGAAAAGCGTTAAAGTTGACGAAAAATGCTCTTGGAGATACAACAATAGGTAATAGCAACATTGAACAAAAATATTTTTTTAATATTAATAGTTTTTTTTATTTTGAAATTTCCTTTAAAAAAAGTTGTCTATCGAAATAATAGGTATATAATATATACAGTAGGCAATCGCTGTGACATGTTACACGTTTTCGCCTTTATATTCATTTCACAGTAGGTACGAATGGACCGCCGGAGTGATGACGTAGATTTGATTGACATCTGTCAGTTTCACTTTCCAAACAAACGTTGTTTAGTGTGGATAATTTGTATTTTTCGTTATTTTTTAAATAATTTTTCCGTTTTTTCCAATATTTAAGTATTCTAATAGTTACTACAACAATTTTACAAGATTGTGTAAATAATAAAGCATGTTTTTTATAAAACTAGCAATAAAATGAATGCATCAATAAAGTAAGGTTAGACTTTCCTTAATGTATACTTTTAAACTATATTTCATAGAAATAGAACACTGACTTGTGATGGTATTATCGTAAAAAACACTATACTTAAAAGAAAAAGTAGCAGAGTAAGCAAAATGTTAACTTTATAGAAATTAAAAACTCTTGAGATTTGACATTTCAACTTTTGTTTGGAAAGTTATGACAGATGTGACGTCACACTCCTACTGTCCATTGTCGTAAATGTCACATTGACATTAAAAATTTTAAACGAAGTTCTGAAAGAATAAACAAATAATTAATAAAATGCCTATTACGTTGTATACCGTCCAAGAAAAAGTGCAACTTGTAACATTGTACTTTCAGGGTCATTCGATGCGCGAAGTAATTGATTTATTTATTGTTACCTTCGAAAATAGACAACCACCAAGTGTTACAACAGTTAAAAATACTATTAAACATTTTCAAACTTCGTGATGTGTAAAGAGTTGTAAAAAGTGTCATGAAGGTAATGAAACACGTGTTAGACCTGTCGATGAGGAGCGTCAAAACAGAGATATTGATATTTGTACTTTTGTGGAGGCTAGTGAACCCTGCAATAGTGTACAAATTGCTAGGGAAGTTAACGTGAATGCTCGAACTGTCCGGCGAGTTCTCGAAAGGAATGGGTATCACTGTTTTAAGATATAACCAACACAAGAACTGTTTCCGGAAGATAACTTTAGGCTGATGGAATTTTGTGAATTTATGTTAGATAAACAGAATAAAAATGTACACTTTTTAAAAAATATTTTATTTTCTGACGAATCTTCATTTTCATTACATAAAAAACACAATCCATCCGTTGCAAAGTATTATTCTCGGAAAAATAAGCGCCTCAGTGTTGCAGTGCGAACGCAGCATCCGCAAAAGTTAAATGCTTGGATTAAGATGTTAGGCGACCATATTGTCGGTCAATTTTTTATGAATGGAAACCTAAACGGGCCCAAATATTTACAACTTTTACAGAATGAGATTATGCTGGCAGTCCGACGCCTTCTCGTTAATTTTCAGGAGGTTTGTTTCCAACAGTATGGGTGTTCGGCTAACAACTCTAGAGCCGCTATTGACTTCCTCAATCAAATGTTTCCTGATCGACTGATAAGTACACGCGGTACAATTAAATGGCCAGCTAGATCCTGTGATAGCGCCTAGCGATTTCTTTTTTTGGGGTATTCTCAAAGAAAACCTGTATAGGTATCAGTTTGAAAGGGCCACAAACCAAGTCGAATTAAGCGCAAAAATACTTCATTTTTCTACAAGCATTATACCAGACCTACTATAAAATATGAGGAGAAATCTGTATGACAGATTTGGTTACTATTTAGCACAAAGAGGTGGAATATTTGAGCCCTTAATTCATTAATCTGCTTTCCTGATTGTTATGTTTTGTTAGGTACATTTTACGAAGTTTTTAGGTTCTTAAATAGGTACTATTTTTTATATTTAAGTTTGGAAGAATTTAATTGTTTTTTTTTTATTTAAAAGTACACACGATCGTTATGCTGATTTTTTTCTTCTTTCTTGTGTTATTATTATAAGCTTTGTCCATAAAAATTGTACAATTTTCAGTGACAATAAAATATATTACTTATTTATTACCTATTTATTTGTATTGCTATTAAGGCTAAAAAATTTACCAAAAAATTAGTTTCAGAACATTATAATAAATATACTCTAGAGATAGGATTGCAATAAATAAATAAATGATAATTTATATGGTCAACAAAACAATGTCGTTATCTGTATTTCCATCGTTGTATTTCCATTATAAACGTTAAAACTCACCTTGGAGCAGATTTCCTTTCATATAATCATACTGAATACTTAGTTGCTTAAGATAAGTGAAATACGTACTAAGGCTTCAATTTGTATAAATCAAGAAATGAGAAACACTGAGATTGAAAACATTATAAGGAAAAATCAAAGATTCTGTTATAAAGACACATAACGAAACTCTACAGAAGGAAGATGAACACGAAAACTTTTAATGACTTAAGAAATACTGAAAGCCATGAAACAAAGAAGAAAATATGGAAACAAAATCTTAAATTAATGAGGAAAAAAATTAAACAGGCTGAAGAAAAGTGGATAATGGAAACATGCAATGAAATGGAGGAATTGCAGAAAAATCATGGTTATTATAAATTACATAAAAAAATTAGAAAATTATGTGGAAAATCACGAACAAACACCGATTAACTGACAAAAACAATAAACTTGTTTTTCTGACTTGTTGTTTGTTTCTTTGACTTAAAACTCAATTGAAAGCAAATACGAAATATATTAAGGATCTTTCCATGGACACAAAAACGGAACCAACACCAAATTGATAAAATCTGTAGTCCAATATACTTTAAATAGCTCAAAATCAAAACATACCTGCCCGTACAAGAATTAGACTGGGAAGAGAGAAGAAGATGGAGGCAAAAAATCGGGTAACGTCTGTTGGAGAACTATATCTCCAAACCAATAATTCTATTTTGTATCAAATAATTTTATTTTCGCGTCGGTTACCTAAATAAATCCAGTCTACCTAGACCTTGTTTCTGAGAATGTTAATCCCGCCCACAGCGCCTACGTGACGATAGACCGGCTTTTCAAAATGCATAAACAAAAAAATATTCCGGCGGGGCGAGGGAGGCGACCAGTCGACACCTACAGTGATTTAGCGACTTTCGTAGGGCTAACATCTATATTTTAAAGTTCGGAGAGGATTCTCCACGTTGCAGTTTACGCTATTGGCCGGGAAGCCGTAATATGTGAATAAGTGTTATGGTGTTTTCGCTTTCGTTCGCAAATTGTAATATTCAAATTAAGTTCCTACGATAAGTTACACACTCAAATTTTATAAGTTCTACTTCTTGCCCTTTCTTATTTCAATTACAGTTTCTTTCTAAACAAGTAATTGTTTTATTTTACTATATTAATTCAACAGGCCAGATAAAAGCAACTTTGAAAGTCCATTTTAGTTTCTCTACTGAGCTGTCGAAGGCTAGCGGACTAATTGGGCTTACAGCAAGAACAAAGCCGCTGAAAGAGACACTGTTGCATATAAGCCTCTCCATGGAAGGAATGTTGTAAACCGGCATCCTCCAACGTCTATATATTCTATTTGGGTCATGACGTCCAATGGATATTTTACATATTGACATCTTAACACGTTTATTTTTAACAGGCATCTGTATAATTTCTGGGGTTATGTTTTCTCCTTTTTTAACATTACAAAACCGAAAGGAGGTCCTTACATAACTTGATTTTAACTGTTGTATCACTTTGTTAAGTATTATTTAAATGAAATTATTTTTTAGGACAGATGGTAAATTTGTTATCAAACGACGTAGGAAAATTTGATTTATCTTGCCAGTTTATTCACCTGTTGTGGTTAGCCCCGTGTGAAATAATGGTTACTATGATTTTGTTATATAAATTTGTTGGTATTACTGGACTTGTAGGTTGTGGTTTTTTACTAACATTTTTACCATTTCAGCGTAAGTAAATATTATCTGTAGTCTATTTAGTGAATATATAAGAGTTTCGGATTAAGTTAATTTATATTTTATAACTACAAAATTTAAATTTTGTAACAATGAAATTGGTCATATAATTCGGTTTCTATGAACTGTGCGGATTTAAAGTCTCTCAGTACGGTGCTTATCTTGCTGTAAACGCCGTTCTCCTTTATCGGGGCTTAAGACGAGCATTAGTTCTATCGAGCTGTTCGATCCACCTGCCAAAACTCCTGAAGTATCGGACAACCACGCAAAAGATGGAGCAACAATATTCCATAAAGGTATTAATCCACCAACGAACAAGAGGAATTTCCTTGTAAAGAGGAAGAAGAAGAAAAGAAGGAGAAATTTTTGACATTTAAAATAAAAAGGTGTTAAGTATCACCAAAATGTAAATAAAAAAAAATAAAAAAAAATAATTTAAATTCAAGAAACCATTTGAGTTACATTTAGCCCACAACAATGTCCATATCACGTACTTATGTATGTACAGTCAGGCATTTATGGTGAAGTATGAGAAAACGATCACCGCAAAACTCTCCCGTAACTCAAAATAAATGGTATATAGGGAAGCACCAAAATTTGAAATTTTTAATACTACCATGTGGTCCATATGTACGGAATAAATTCATTTTTAGCGTTATTATGTACTTTGTGAAAAAAACCTGAAACAGGTCGATTTTTATTCTTAAATTGACAATTTAGAGTATGAAAATAATATCCCCTTCCAGCACTCCCTTTAAATTATAAGCACCCCCTCGCAAATTTTAAATAGCAAAGGGGATCGTGTAGCACCTTATTAGAAAGGGATTTTAGTCCTTTGTTCAGCAATGTAAAGTTTTTTGAGTTTGTGCAATTATAACTTACAAAATTAATTTTTACAATATTAAATTAAATGTTCAACTTGACCACTATTATTCACATTTTGACAATAACCGAGGCGATTTTGGAATTCGCATACAATATTTTGTATGACCTCGGAGGTTATTTTGTTAATTTCTTCCGTTATCCTAACTTTTGTTTCAGCGATATTGCCTGGTCTATTAAAATATACTTTAGAAAAAATCAGGTATTTTCATATCGGTTCTGCTCAACATTGGGGAAAAAACTTTGAAGATAATAAAATGTTAGTCAAAAAGCCAAATAAACAATTGATATGAATCTAGTAGGCTGCTGTCATTTTGGTATTTAACGTTACTAGAAGACGTAAGTATAATATTTGTGCGCGTATTAAATTTAATTATGGCACATTTGTCCGAGACTAAAAGAATAAAAATTTTACCTATGATTGGATGTGGTAATAAAACAAGAGCTCAAAAGGAGGTTTGTGAAATGTTAATAATGAATATCCTGGTCAACAAGTTTCGTAGTCTACAATTAGCACAATTGCAAAAAACTTTCATTATACTGGACATGTAAAAAATATTGAAAAACCAGGTAGAAATAATTAATTTATTGATGAAAAAAAGTTACATGTACTTGTAGAGATTGAGGAAAATCCGCATAAGAGAACTTGTCGCCATCAATGATAAGTAAGTGAATCGTCTATTTTGAGAGTTTTTACATAAAGAAAATTACCACTCTTACAGAGCTCAGTTGGTTCAAGAGTTAAATGAAGATGATCCTGATAGACGGCAAGAATTCTGTGAAATGATGATGGAGAGAATGAACGCAGATTTGCAGTTCATAAACAAAATAGTTTTTTCTGATTAGGCGACGTTTCATTTAAACGAAACGGTTTAAAAAACAGCACTGTAGATATTGGAGCAGAGAAAATCCTCACTGAGTGTGTGAGACTCACACGCAATATTCTAAAAAATTAACGATTGGGCTGTTATTATTGACAATAAAACTATTGGTGCTTATTTTTTTGAGGGCGCAGTTGATGATAAGGTTTATCTAGATTTTTTGATTACCTTTTTAGTGCCTACATTACGAAGATGTTTTCCTAATGTTAATCATCCAAACTAGATAGATGGATCTTTTTACTACCAACAAGGTGGAGCTCTACCGAATTTTGCACTTACAATTAAAAATTATTTAAATGAGGTTTTTCCCAATAGGTGGATTGGAAGACGTTGAACAATCGAATGGCCGGCTAGATCCCCGATTTGACTCCTCTCGATTACTTCTTATGGGGTTATTTAAATTCTAAAGTATAATTTACTAGATCAAACAGTATGGCTGATTGAAAAGTTGGAATAACGGAAGAAATTAACAAAATAACTCCCGGAGTCGTACAAAATGTACGAGAATTCCAAAATCGCCTCGGGTATTGTCAAAAAGTGAATAGTGGTCATTTTGAACATTTAATTTAATTGGAAAGTACATTGAAAAATACATTCTAAATATTATGTGACATTATTATCTTCGTTCAACCTAAAGTTTTGTGGTAAAGAATTTATCAAAGTTTTACATTTTAAAAATCAATTTTGTAGATTATTATTGCACCAAACTTAAAAAACCTGAAGCTGAACATAGGACTAAAATCCCTTTCTAACAAGGTGCTACACGACCCCCTTTGCTATTTAAAATTTTCGAGGGGGTGCTTATAATTCAAAGGGGGTGCTGAAGGCGGATATTATTTTCATACTGTAAATTGTCAATTTAAAAATAAAAATCGACCTGTTTCAGGTTTTTTTCACATAGTACTTAATAACGCTAAAAATGAATTTATTCCATACATATGGACCGCATGGTATATATCAAATACGTGCAAATAATGAACATATGACTTTAATTTTGTTTAAACTAAAAGAGAGGAAATTTAGTGATATTAGCAAAACAAGTTTATGAGAAGCTCTACATAACAAGTTTCAAATTTAATAAAGGTGATACCTAATACAAAAGCACTTTAGAAAAGTTGTTCTGTTGTTTACAAAAGAATTGAGATTTTCAGAAAATGAACTAGAATTAAACAGATTTAAAGAATAGGGAGTAATTTTTTATACATATTTAGACGATACAAGGATATTTTACAAGGGTGTAACCAAGAGACAAGAGGTTAACATAACATTAATACTGGTGGAGACGGAAGGAAATAGAAAAAACGTCATTATTGAAGGCAATATTTTCGTCTATATAAAAAAATAGTGATTATGATAAAAATATTAACACAGAAATTATTGTGCGAAATGTTTCTTCCCAAAATAAATGAGCTCAGCGTCATTGTTTTTCTATTCCAAATTATTAAACAAATGCTTAAAGTGGGAAGTTTCTGGGGTGTAGCTGTATAGCAAACTAGTTAAAAAACTTAACTTTTGTTCATCATCATCACGTAGCGCTACAACCCTTGGTTGGTTCTTGGCTGATTGTACAACTTTTTTCCAATTTGTTCGGTCTTCCATCAACCTAAGGTCAAATAGAATGTTCATTTTCCGGACATCTGCTTGAAGGTTATCTCTCCATCGCATTCTGGCACGTCCGAGTGGTCTTTTGCGTGTGGGAATCTCCTCCCATACCAGTTTTACAGGTCTTTCGTTATGCAGTCTGTGCACGTGGCCTGCCCATCTTAGTCGCTGTGATTTAATTTCTTGAGTAGAGTGTAGAGTGTTTTTAATTCGATATTGCTTCTGATCTTTTTCTAAAAAATGATCTGATCCGAAAGTATTTTTCGTTCAAAGCCTCTGAGCTTTTCTTTGTTTGCTTTGGTCGTGGTCCACATTTAGCATCCGTATGTTATTACAGGTCTGACGATTAATTTATTGATTTTGATCTTTAAACTTCTTGTAAGATTTTTTGATTTTATGAGCTTATCCAGTGCAAATAGACAGCGGTTTGCAGATTGGATTCTGCAAATACTTAAAACGTTGTACTCTTTCGAAATTGAAGGTGTTGACCGTCACATTTTGTCCTATTCTGTCTCTTCGTGTCGTTCTATTTATACCCATTAGTACACAGTATAAATCCATAATATGGTCTTTGTCGATTACATACTCTGCCAAAGCACAATAGGGTTTCTTAATTCTGCAATCACTTTTGTGAGAAATAATGCGATTTGAAAGATTTCTTCCGGACTCACCAACATACTCATACCAACATTAAGTACAACTAATGCGGTATACTACATTTGTTTTATCTAATTTGTCTATAGGATACTTAGTTTTGGAATATAAAGATGAAATGGTTTTGATGTTCTTTGTTGCTATTTTTATATTGTCAATAGCCTTTAGTGTTTATATTATTTTGGTGTTAATGATGGTATAAAAGGTAGTGAATGATAATAGATGTTCTGATGGTTGGATAAAATCTTCTGAGATTTAGCAAAAAAGTTATTTATATTAATAATATTAGAAAAAAGCATCCTGTCTAGCATATCTGGAGGATAAGAGTTTTCAATTAAAATATTTTTTAACCATTGAAGATCTTGTAAAAGATCTGAAAGTAATAAATTCAAAAGAACTTTTTTGGAAATGGTTTGTATTAGCAAAAGTGATAATAATTTAAACAAAAGGTCAGAAATTCAAAATCCAAGCAAAATTTATAATTATATTATTTCTATGTAGTTTATATATGAAACCAGTAAAATATCACATTTTGATTTAATTTTCCATGTATTTGTTACATTTTTTGAGTTATCTATCACTGGTGAATAAATCTTCTTTTTTGTTACTAAACAAAAAAGAATTTTTAAACAAAATTTTATTTTTAGCAATTTAATTGTCAAAAATAAAAAATTTTAAGTTGGTATTTATGATATTGAGGCTTATTTGTAATTGTCAATATTCAAATTTATTTATAAATTCAATTTTTTTGTATTAAGAAACTTTTTCAAAATGATATAAAAATTTCAAAGAAGCATTTATTAGATTAAAACATTTTTATATTTATACTTTTTGTAATATGTTAGCAGCAGTTTAATATATCAAGCTGATTTTATTTGGTGAGTTTATCTTGATAATGATTGTAAACACAATTGAAAGCTCGAGTAAAAAATAGTTAATGATTGAAATTAGGTTGAATGCTCGAATAAATAAACTTTGAAAATAAGGCTATTATCGAGCACAAGTTAATTAAATCTAGCCCAAGTACTTTCGCTTAAAATAGCATCTTCAGAGGCATTTCGTCAAAATGTAAACTATCGGGCAAGCGTAGAATGTGGAAACATTAAAAATAACATAAAATTGTACAAAACACTACACTAAAACGAGGACAAACAGTTTAAAATTAGTTAAAGATTCTACGCTACTTTCTCTGTCAGTATCTGGAGGGATAATTATCCCTCATTATCATTATCGTACATATACCTCGTGTTTTGTACAATTTTATGTTATTTTTAATGTTTCCACATTCTACGCTTACCGGATAGTTTACATTTTGACGAAATGCCCCTGAAGATGCTATTTTAAGCGAAAGTACTTGGGCTAGATTTAATTAACTTGTGCTCGATAATAGCCTTATTTTCAAAGTTTAAAAAATAGTTAACAAATAGCCCCTTTTATTGACTCCAACCCATCCAAAACAGTTTTATATTTTTTCCAAACGAGTCACAAGTAATTCTTTTTTTTTTCTTACTCTTACGATATTATTAGTAGTTTATATCCTAATTGTCTACCCCTCTCGTTAGAGTTTAAACTTACTTTTCAGGGCTGTGTTAACCAAATATTTTTATTGTAGCCCTTATGGCAAATCTGGTGTCACAGTATAGATTTAAAACAGCAATTTGCACGGACGAAAGGATTAGATGCATAAACGATATTTTCACTGGAATTCAAGTAATTAAAATGTACACTTGGGAAGAACCATTTGCGAAAATAGTTGAAGGAATAAGAAAGTAAGTTTTCCTTAATTAAAATGAAATAACATAGTATCCATATACTGTGTTCCGTAGTATCCATAAACTACGGATTATAGACACACTTAGCTACTAGTACAGCACCTGTCTTACTAATAATACTTTCATAGTATCCCCTTTCTTTGTTCTAAATACCTTTTTTAGCTAATAAAGGACAGCTTCTAGGTAAACGGTTATCCCTTATGGTTCCTGTGCCTCCGTATCCTTTCAAACATAAATTAGACAATAAACTGAGGGTAGTAAATAAATTGTTAAAGCAAAATAATAATGGAAAAGATTTCAGATTACCAGGTAGTTCTTCTATCATTTTCACCAGCCGCGATGGAGCCTTTCCAAAGTTTCTTTCTATGTCAATATCCGGAGTTACAGATTTTCCTTGATATATCTAGAAATCAATCAAATAGCCCATCACTGTATTTAGGCACCAGACTTTATAACTAAATCGTATGGGATTGGCTCTTAAAAACTGCTTGCAGCTATGTTTACCGTAGTACTTGATCACTTGATCATACTCTCGTCGAAAGTCACATCTTGTTCAGGAACAAAATACTTTCTAAATATGTCCTTCACTTTATTAATAAATGGCCGTATTTTCCAGAGCTCATCATCCTTTATATTAATATCGATATTTGCATTAGAATTCAAGTGAATATGTCTCAAAATTTGCTCAAATCTGTTGCGTCTCATAGCATTATATACAAGTTTGTTTCTAGTGTCAAGATTTTGCTTTCAATACATACGCTTGCTGAGATTATTATAACCACTTACAATCAATATAGCAATGAAACATTTCATTTCCTCTGGCGAGACTCCTGGGTCGGGTAGGTTCTTAAAAGTAGCATATTGATTTGTTTTCTTATTTTGGGAATAAAATGCTTTTTTTTTTATTTATAAACATTTCGAATATATTTTTGAATAACTGATTTGTGTCAAACAGTGAATATTCTAACTCAGCAATTTGTTTCTCGTTATATATGAAATGTCCCTTAGGTGTATTTGAATGTCGATATCAATTGCCAAAGAAATGTCACATTTTGTCGATTCTGACTTTTAAATAAGCATTTCTTCTCCTAGTCTAATTCCATCAGCACTTTTAACTCTACTGCATCTGCATGTAGCTGAAGATTTCTCAAATTGTCCTCATCTTCGGAATCCTCATCCGTCATAGTAGCCGGATATGGTGGCGCTATATAAATTACCTCTATAGAGTCATCTATTTGGTTGTATACTCCAAAGGCTATATCAATAGCTTGCTAAACAGTCAGGCCTCGTTGAAGAACTGCAGCAAGGCCTCTGAAATAAAAAAACAACTTAGTAGGTACATACTGCATTTTTAAATTTCAGATTTTAAAATTTTAAAGTTCTATAAACAAAGTATAGTAATACTTCGAAAAATATTACTAAAAATACCATACAATGAAAACAAAACATATGATATATTGGTACAAAATAACTGGAGAATATGCTTAAATTACATACTAGCGTTACAAATATGTAACAGTCAATTTCCTAACCAAACAACTTTTTTATTCGGGAAAATATCAGAACTTTTTTACACAAAAAATATGTATTTATATTTGTTATACTATTTGTTTTTTAATATTACCTTTATTATACACAATAAGATTTATATATTTACTCTTTATCAACAAAATCCATTATTTAAAGCTTTATTTTATCCCTCTCGTTATATTTTATCCAGGCACAGATTCAAAACAAACTTCTAATAAAATCGCACATTTACAACGATGAAAACACTAACACCTTATATCAAGAACTGACCTGTTTTCAACTGAAAATTACGACGAAGGCGATAGGGGATCTATTTAAACGGCACCACTTTGCCGTTGCATAATCGTAACGCTAGGAACTAATGGGTTAAAAAGTAATGATATATGATACTGTGGCGTACAAAACCGAATCTATAAAAAAGTTACTAAATGTACCAAATATAAATCAGACGTACATCCGGAAAGAAAAGTACTATACGGTGACAGTCTGGGAATGGCTCGCGGCTAGACAAAACAGTGGAGATGGTCGTGCGGTCCACAAAACAAAAAAAATCGAAGTTATCAGGGGCGCCAGGTAAATTGGCCCACAGCCTTCCCTACGTTACTATGCAATAAACCACCAACTAGTTACCAATAGGTCTACTACTAAAATACTAAGTAACAATATACAACCTGAATACATAAAAAAATAAATAAAATTGTCAGATTAGAATTTAGTCAATTTTAATAAATAGATTCCCAAGATAGTTGAAAATAAATACATATTACAATATTATTTAACTTTACCATAGGCTTAATAAAAAAATAATATAAAAATGCGGCTTCTACTTGCCTAACAAAAATTCATAAGTTATTTCTATTTAACAGAACAAAATAAAAGGTAAGACGTATCAAAAGTACCGGACGCTAAGGGGTGTGCGGTTCAATACCGACCAAAAAAAAATAATTAACGCAAATAGGACACCACGTGAGCTCAAGTGCGTGCGCAGGAAATAATATAAAAAAATAAATCTCAAATATATAACCCCCCTTAGACGCAGTTTACAAAAACAAAATAGGTATGTGTAAATATTTAACTTATAAAATAAACCGCAAATATTCTTAAAAAAAAACTGTAAAGTATTTGTAAATATTAAAATAAAAACTAACAGCAAGTAATCTTTAAAAAAACTATTGTATTCCGTAAACAAATTAGACGGCGCTTAAATCTTCCGTTGAAAATTAATTATCGATCCATACCTTGAATTTTCATATACTTCATACACATCCAGTTACAGTTCAGTGTGTCTCCAATCCAAAATCCCCATACGATTGCCGATGTACATAGACTTGTGTGACAATGTTGCGAAGTTGAAAATTACAGCCAGACGGAAAAATACGAAGAAGAAGAAGAGCAGGAAAAAAACCAAACAAACCAACAAAACAGCAAACCAGTAAAACAGCAAAACCCCTTCTTAGCCAGATTAGGGGTTTGAAATATCCCAAATTGGACCGAAACGTAGTCGGCTATTTGGACTCGTGATTAAGGCTAATTTCTTGTTCTAAATGCGACTCCCGGTATTCACGTGTACTGTAGATCCGCTTTTCTTTAGCGAAATTGTGGATTTTCCAAAAAATACCCTTCCACGAAGGCAGCAAATCCCCTTGAATATCCACACGGTTCGGACTAGTCCAGATCCCACATGGAACAGCAGCAAAAATCAAAATGCCGTTTTTTAATCTAGCCCAACCTATCAGTCACACCGTCAGACCAAGGATCAGTCCCTTTCCGTCGTCTTTCCGAGCACTTGACAACTTGACACACGGAGGTCACCGAATAATACCGAGATTCAAACATTTCAATTTTATGATCCCAATTCTTCCAAGATGACTCTAGAATAAACGATCTAAATAGTTTCTTAAAAAAAAGGACGTTTTCCCTTAAGTTCAGCACAATTTGCAGACATTACCGCTATTAGAAAATTAATAAGAATATTTTATTGATAAAATAGAGGTGGGACTTTCTACTTTAAATTTGAAACGTAACAATACGACTACGAAGGCACGTTATATAATTGTAAGCGAATAAATTAAGCAAATACAACCGATAAAACATAAAGACAAAGTTAAAAACGCTCATGAATGTTAGGGAAATAAGTTTTCTACTGACAATCCGTATTAGGTTTTATTAAATTTGAAAGAAGAGAATGGGCCACCGGCTTTGCTGTTTACAAAGTTTTAAACCATCATCAGGCCCTTAAAAACCTAAAGCTAAAATACATATTAAGCGGACTTTAACTTTGGGTTTGTGCGGCTCGCCATCTTACTAGCGTTCAGTGTACCATCATATTTCATACTTTATTTTCCGTTAGATCTGTAGAATTATATGACTGTATTTTTTAAATATCAAACTTTATAATTTTTTTTTGTTTGAAAAAAATTAATGATTTTTTTTTTATTTTAGTAAAGAACTAGATCAAATTGGAAAATTTTCATTAGTACGATCAGTCATGCTTTCTCTAACTATGGTTCTAGGACGACTATCCATATGGTTGTGTATCTTAACCTATATTTTTACAGGAAATACGTTAACAGCATACTATGTGTTTACTGTGGCATCTTTTTATGCCTTTTTAAGAAATTCTGTTATTCTACTATTTCCCCAAGCCGTTGTCCAAATAGCAGAAGCTAAGGTATCAATAAAAAGGCTGCAAAAGTTTTTATTATTAGACGAAATCGAAATAGAAAATTCATTGATTAAGATAAATAACGTTAAGAGTGATGTAACAAAAGAGCTACATGCAGACAAAAAATCCGAAAAGAGTATAGGAATAGTACTAAAAGAAGTTTCAGTTAGGTGGACCAATACGTCTGAAAATGTTTTGCATGACATAAACTTTAAAGCCAGAGGTAATCAATTAGTGGCAATAGTGGGTCATGTAGGGGGTGGAAAGACGACACTACTTAAAGTAATCCTAAAAGAGGTAACAGTATTTCAAGGACTAGTTCAAGTAAATGGAACTATTTCTTACTCTCCGCAAGAACCTTGGTTGTTTGAAGGTAGTGTAAAGCAAAATATTCTTTTTGGAGAACCCTATGATCCTGACAAATATGAAAATATTGTACATGTCTGTGCTTTACAAAGGGATATTAGTTTATTTCCAAGTGGCGATGAAACATTAATTGAAGAAGGCGGAAGCAATTTAAGTGGCGGACAGAAAGCTCGAATTAACTTAGCACGCGCAATATACAAAGATGCAGATGTTTATTTACTTGATGATCCCCTATCTGCCGTCGACGCAATAGTAGGACAACAACTATTTAATAATTGTATTTGTGGATACCTTCAAAAGAAATGTGTGGTGTTAGTAACACATCAAGTACATTATTTACATTCCACTGACTATATTTACTTAATAGAAGATGGCACGCTTAAGATACCTAGTACTTATCAAATTCTAGAGAAATCTAATAAAACATTTATAGATCTTTTAAATACAGCAACATCTCAGATAAGAAATGAACCAATAAAGGATGGTGAAACAGCAGACGGTCAACTTGGTCAATCCACAAAAGAAGAAATTGCTCTTGGTGCCGTATCATTTCATGTTTATAAAAGCTATTTTAGTGCCGGTGGACACTGGTCAAAAACTTTATTCATTACGCTAGCTTTTATATTAGCACAAGTCTTTGGAAGTACGACAGAATTATTTCTAGCAATTTGGTAAGTCAAAGGCATATTTACGTTTGTTTAATTTTTTTTTTATTTAAACAAATATACCCGCATCAACCACTAAGGGTTATTAGCAGGGGGACATACACAAACAGTAAGATACATATTGTTACATAAAAAAAATATTTTTTACAATCTCGTATATAGTTTAGTCATTTTAAGAAAACTTAATAAAGCCTGTAAATTTGACGTTAGTACACTTTTTAAATTGTCACTAAGGGCACACGCGATTCTTTCGTTCTGGTACACTGGACACTCAACAATTATATGTTTCACTGATAACTGAGTGTTGCACTTGGTACACATCGGAGCAGGCTCCTGGTTGAAGATATGCTTGTGGGTAAGGAAAGTATGTCCTATTCGGAGTCGGTTGATAATGACTTGGTCTTTTCTATTATTTGGTAAGATGAGTTTGGTTCCTACTTGACTTAGACATTCTTTAAGTTTGTTGGCAGTATGATCCCAAGTAGTTTGCCACGCTCTGTACATGTGGGCTTTGATATTAACTTTGTGATCAGTCCAAGGCATTTGATTTATGATAGGAATACTTTGGTCAGTGGTTGCATTGCTTGCCAGAGAGTCCACTTCCTCATTACCACTTATTCCCATATGGGAAGGTACCCAGATGAAGGAAATATCTTTTTGTTGACTCTGTAGATTAGATAACTCTTCTTTGATCTTGAGTAGTATGGCGTGAGTTGTATATAGCTGTTTTATTCCAAGTAATGCGCTCATTGAATCGGTGATGATAACAAATTTGCTTTCATTGATAGAACCACATTTTTTCATAGCCTGGTGAATTGCCGTAAGTTCTCCGGTATATATACAACAATTTGTTGGGATTCGTATGGTAGACTTGACGTTTTCGTAGATGTAGGCTGCAGCATGTCCTTCATCACATTTGGAAGCATCAGTGAAGATTTGATGGGTTGTTGGGTATTTGGATATTATATTTTTATAAGCTTGCTGTATAAGGAAAGGATGTGTGGAATGTTTCGGGAGTTCTTTTAGAGACGTGTCGATTTTTGGAGATTTGATCACCAAGGAGGAACATTTACATGAATAGGCATAGTAAAACTGAACTGTTCTATATTAAGACCAATATGTTTTATACGTTCAGGAAATGGTAGTTTTTTTATTGCAATGTTTCTGTAAAGATCGGACGATATATTTGTTCTGCTAAGTATTGTTGAGTAGGTTACGTTGCTGTTGTTTGCTGAAATTCTGGCAACGTAATTTAGTGATAGGAGTTTTCTTCGTTGGCTTAAGGGCAGTTCATTAGCCAGAGCTTGTAAGCTACTTACTGGACTAGTTCTTGTTGCACCTAAAACTAGTCTCAAGCACATATTTTGAATGTAGTCAAGTTTTTTTAGAGATGTTTTGTTAGCAGTATCGTAGCATAAACAGCCGTAGTCTAGTTTACTTCGTATTAATGATCTATATAGAGTAAGTAAGGTTGTTGTATCTGCCCCCAAGAGGTATTTGACAGCATTTTTAGTAGATTAATTCTGGATTGGCAAGAACGTTGCAGATTGGTGATGTGGGTTTCCCAGTTTAAGTTACGTTCAAAAGAAAGTCCTAAGAAATTTATTTCTTCTGCTTGTTTCAGGACAACTCCATTTAGTGTTAATTGAACATTAGGATAATTTTTTCTTTTGCTAAAAATCTAAATAACGTGTCTTTTCACTAGAGAATATAAAACCCGTGTTTTGCGACCAGCTTTCAATTGTGTGTAAGGTAGTTTGCAGTATATGTGTTCCCAGAATTACATTGTTTGTTCTTAGATAAATGACTAAGTCATCTGCATATAGGCTAGTAAATACAGGTAGTTTTATTTGATGTATAATACTATTTATTGCAACTAGAAAGAGAGTAGGACTTAGAGTAGATCCTTGTGGAGTGCCGTTTTGAAGTACTCGTCTGGAAGATGTAAATCCATTGGTTCTAACTCGAAAAGTTCGTGCTTTTAGAAAAATTTTAATAAAGAACAACATGTGCCCTTGAACATCCCATTCTTGAAGTGTTTTCAGTATAAGATGTCTCCATGTTGTGTCAAACGCTTTTCTTATGTCAAAAAATACGGCAATAAGTTTTTGGTTGTGCAGAAAGGATTCATGTATACTTGATTCAAGTGTTATTAGATTGTCTGTTGTGGATCTACCCGTACGAAATCCACTTTGTCTGATACTTATCAGGTTATTGTTTTCGAGGTACCATTTAAGACGATAATTAAGGATTTTTTCTAAAAGTTTGCAGGTACAACACGTAAGTGATATTGGACGATAGGAATTTGGATCGTCTTTTGGTTTATTATATTTAAGGACTGGAATTATAGTTGCTTGCGACCATAGATCAGGAAAGTCATGGTGAATAAAAATATTATTAAAAATATCAACTAATATTAGCTTTGCATTCAGAGGAAGATTTCGTAAGAAAAGAGGATGGATATCATCAGGACCTGGACTAGAATTTTTAGCACTTAAACAAAATTCTAATTCTTGAAGACTTACTGGTTTGTTTATTGGATTGCCGCTTTCTGTGATTTGTATATTTGAAGACTCCGTTAGTTTTTTGTGCTCTAAAAAGGATAGGCTGTAATTGGAATCACCAGAATTAAGTTCGTATATATCTGCTAGTATTTCTGGAATATCTTCTTTGTTTGAATGCGTTTGGTTATTGTATGATAAAGTATCTATACCTCGAAAGTATTTTGTCCCTTTTATTCTGCGGACTTTGTTCCATATGTTGCCTAAGGGAGTGGAAGGATTTATTGAAGAAACGTACTTTTTCCAACTTTTTCGTTTTGCTTTTTTGATTAATTGTCTGCTTTGAGCTCTGAGATTTTTAAACCTTAAAAGGTTTTCGTCAGTTTTATGTTTCTTGTAAACGTTGAAAGCGTGTTTAGACAAAGTGAGTGCTTGTGCAATTTCGTTATTCCACCAAGGAACTGGCTGCCTTTGACTCGATTTTGTTTTTCCCACTGCGATTGTTGCTGCAGAAATAATAATGTTATTAAATATTTCAAGATTTTGGTTTGCGTTATTGGTTAAATTAGATTTTTTTGTTTGTTCTTCAATCAGTGTTCGATATAAATTCCAATCAGCTGACTTTATTTTCCATGTCTGGTGAATTGGAAAAGTTGATTTATCATTAGTGTTTGTGGTTATTGTAATAGGGAAATGATCACTATCATATAAATACCCCAATGTGTCCCAGTACAATAAAGGAGCTAGCGACGGACTGCATAAAGAGAGATCTATGGCAGAAAATGTACCATTGTATGAATTGAACCTAGTAGATTTGCCAGTGTTTAGTAAAACTAAATTTAAATTATCAATGAGATTATTCAGGAGATTACCGCATTTGTCGGTTTTGCTACTTCCCCAAGTACTGTTGTGACAGTTAAAATCGCCTAATATTATTTTTGGGTGTGGAATTTGGTTTAAAACATTGCTTAGTTCAGTTATGTCTAAATCAGTAGGATGAGGTAAGTATACATTGCAAATATTGATTTTCATTTTGTGGGTGACTGACACTGCAACTATTTCGAGATTTGTTTGCAGTTGTATTTCAGTGGACTCTATATCATTCCTTACAAAAATTGCTGTTTCACCGCTTGAGTGATCTGCAACTCGGTTTCTTAGAAAAGGAACATAGTTTTTTAATGTCACATTTTGGTGCTTGAAATGGGTCTCTTCTAGGCATATGACTAAAGGAAGATATTCGTGTATAAGAAGCTTAATGGATTCTATATGTGAAAAATAACCGTTGGGGTTCCACTGTAATATGAATGTGCTGGCCATTAACTCTTTATGTGTTAACTAGTTATTGTTGGGAACTTGATTCGTAGTCAGTTTCGTCAGTAGAAGAAGGACTGTTGAGAAGCAGTTTCTTCTTCAATCTGGTGATATTGTTTTTTAAAGTTTTATTTTGTATTTGAGAATATATAAAGTTTAAAATTTCTTTTATTTCTTGGCTTTCATTTGAATAATTTTTAACAATATGTTCAGGATGTTTTGAGTAAAGGGAATTTGCCAGAAAATCACATATTTCATGAAAAGTTAGTGTAAAGGAAGGGTTTCTATTTTCAATTTTTTCTTTAATTTGATTTAGAATAATTGGAATATCTACTTGGGTTTTGGGCTTTTTCTTAGGTTTTTGAGTATCGGGAGGAGGTAGGTCATTTTCAAGGATTTCAGGAGAGGAGATTTGTCTTTTAGTAGCAGGAGTAATTTCAGTGGTTTTTCTATCGCTTTCAATTACTAAGGAATTATCTTGGAATATTTTTGGCTGATTCAAAATTTGTATTTCATTGTTTGTTTGTGAGGAAGTGGTTTGGTTCTTTGTAGCTGATGCATGATTTTGTATGGTATTGGGTTCTGGTTCCATTAATGTTTCGGTATCTTCTTGGTATTGGTTTCGTGGTTGATCTTGTAGCTGATTATATTCTTCATGGGTAGAGTTATGTATATTCTCGTGGTGGTCAGTTTCCATTTGATTAATTGATTTACTAGATGATGATAAGGAAGGACAGTCAGAATCGTGATGTCCGACAATCTTGCATTTGGAGCAGTTTAAACCATCTATGGAAATGTATAGTCGATATGATGTATTGTCGAATGAGATTAAAAATGAGTCAGGAATTGGTGCATTTTCTAAAGGAGTTATGAACATTTGCCTCCTAAAGCTGAGCACGTGGCTGTATTCTGGGTCTTGCATGCCTACTCGTAGAAACGTCATGTTGGAGGCGGATTTTATACCCATCGTTTTTAAGTGCTCTTCAATTATGCTATTAGGTATAGTAGGGCATACATTAGATATGATGAGTCTCTGGGCAGGAGTTATAAGTCTTCTTACTTCAATCTGGTTACCATCAATACTTATATATTTGTAGGAGCTAAGAAATTGATCAACTACATATTTAGAGGAGAGGTAGATGCAGATGCGGTTGTTTGCTATTTTGGATGCCCAAACAACATTTTTGGGCTGTACTATTGATCCAACAGCTTTTACATATTCGAAAACTTTTATTCCTTGTATGGTTGAAAGTATAATACCTTGGTCTTTTGAAGGATATTTGAAACTGTTTAATGCATTGGAGTAAGATATATGTGACGTAGTGGGTATATTTCGTGAAGTAGTAGCTGATTCCGGTTCATCCATCTTCCCGCTGAGAATTTTCGTACATTGGCACAGAGGATCTGAAGCCGGACCTGGCCGCTTGATAAAATTGGGCAGCAGCCTAGCCTAATTATTACTTGTTAAAAGCAAGAACCAGCAAAAAGTTGTTGTCGATAATCGATAAGTTGAATTAAAATCGATAAAATATTTTGCCTTTTAAACTTCTGATTTTAAGGTTATTAATAATGCAGTTTTGTACTCACAGAATTCTACGATTTTCAGTGCACTGTCACATTTAACTTTAAGTTGCAAACAGTATAAAAATTAAATTATATTTTTAATTTTAACTACTAGCAATATCGGGGCCGGACTCCTGTTTAATTTTTGTATTTAACTTTTGTGTTCCTAACATAACTTAACTTTTGTTTAAAATAACCTTACTTTAAAAATAAAAATTAGAAAAGCAAAGCGCGAAATAAATACGAATGGGGTAGAATTCTTGAACTGGCTCAAAAATGACTGTTAAGCCAATGATTATAATGATGAGATAACATAGAAATACAACAAAGAAATAGTTTCGGAACCATAATCTCTCTCTCTTCAATCCTGACCCCCCAGGGGGAGTGTAGTGATCGACGTGATGTCGTGTATTGTCCGTCTCCAGAGATCTCTGTCTCTGGTCATTTCTTTTAATTCATGCATAGGTCTTTGGCATATTCCTGTAATTTGATCTATCCATCCTGTTGGGGATCTTCCTCGTGATCTTCGGCCTTCTACCTTTCCTTGTATTATGAGTCTTTCCATGTTTTCTGTGTTTGCTCTCATAACATGCCCAAAATATTTTAATTGTTGGAGATGGGCTTTACTAGAGAGTCGTTGGCTAACTTTTAGCTTTCTTAAAATTGAATTATTTGTTCTACGGTCGGTCCAAGGAATTCGTAACATTCGTCTCCAACAGAACATTTCAGTGGCGTCTATCTTTCTTCTCTCCGATTGTCTCAGAGTCCTAAGATTCACATCCGTAGGTCAGTATTGGGAATATTAAGCAGTTGATCAACCTCATCTTTATCGCTCTTGAAATTTGACAGTCCTTCCATATTTTGGTCATTTTTGTTGTGGCAACTTTTGCTAGATCACATCTACGTTTAATTTCTTCTTGTAATGACCCTGTGTTTGTGATTAATGATCCCAGATATAAGTATGAGCTCACAACTCGAACCGGTCAATTGTGGTTATGTGTGGATGATTGTTGTGTAGTCTATCCACTATTATGATCTTTGTCTTTGATATGTTTAATTGCAGACCAAATATTTGACTTTCGTTTTCGATCAGTCGTATAAGTTCCATCAGCTCTGCTTGACTATTTGCAAGAAGGGCTGTGTCATCTGCGAAACGTAGGTTGTTTAGTTTATGACCATTTATTGAGATGCCCTTTTCCCATCCTTCAAGTGCTCTTCGCATAATATACTCCCCATATATGTTGAATAATTGTGGAGATAGTATACATCCTTGTCTGACACCCCGTTCTGGATGAACCATATGAACCATATAATGTTCAGAGCCATAATATAAGATTAAAAATCTACCAAAAATGTCACACATGTCTAACAATATATATTTAATAACTTACTGTTTTTAATATGATATATACAAAATGTTTTAGGGTAAACGTTGAGCAGAATATAGCAAGAGGAACAGTTTCCGGAACATTTTGGGAGCGAATATTAACACTTGAATTATCGTTTACCATCTACAGTGTTTTAATATTTCTGAACGTTTTATTTTCTACTATTAAATCAATATCATTCTTTAATTTCTGCTTAAACGCTTCAAAGAGGTTACATAAAAAAATGTTTTTAAACGTTCTGTATTCTCCAATGTATTTCTTTCATGCAAACCCCTCAGGAAGGATATTAAATCGATTTTCGAAAGATATAGGAGCTTTGGATGAAACATTACCAATGTGCATGTTAGATGCTTTGGGGGTAAGTAATTATTTTTTTATTTTATTTACCATTTTTATTTCATAAAACACATTGTTTCATAGGCATGGAAAACTTTTTTATTGAGACTTGCTTCAATAAGTAATTCATCAATAAGTAATAATTTTTAAATGTGCAGATCACATCTCCATGATTGTAACTGCCCAATCAAGCTGTCATATGTCACATGCCACCTTAACATTGCCGTTAAGACCGGGGGCCATTCTCTCTCCTGATGCCGACCATAATATAGCTTTGCCTATTTCAACAATTTTAAAGTGTTGGTCCTTGTGTAGTATGCTGTAGTGTACAATTTTATGTTTATCACATTCTATAATTGTTGGATAGGCCAAAATTGACGAACTCTAAAATGTTAATCACACAAAAACTTTTATCAACAATCAACTTCGAGTTTTATATCAAAGTTAATTAACTTCTTTAGTTAAAAAACGTTTCTTGGCTTATTTCAGATTCCTCTGAAGATGCTATAGGAAGCGAAAGTACTTGGGCAAGATTTAATTAATCGATATCTGCCTCTCATTTCATCAAAGTTTATTAGTTAATAAAGTGTTTATTACTGACAAGTTTTGAAATACGGTTTCATTTGCATAAACTAATAAATAAGGCCTTCTCTCCACACAATGGCATATGCAGCTGTGAGGTCTATGAATCTTCTGGCAGATTTTTCATGTCTTTTAAAGCTAGTTTCGATAAATGTAGTTAGGGACAACACTTGGTCGCAGCAGCTTCGTCCTTTTCTGAAACCGAAAGTGTTACATGTAAGAGTCGTTTCAGTAATTTATAACAACAATTAAGTAGGGCAATAGGTCGATTAGTTGTCTTTTCCAGGCTGCTGGATTGCGATAATTCTTAATATTTTAAATTGTGGAGAAAGCACAGCTGTATTCATAATCTCGCTGAATAATTTCTTGAGCCACTCCCATATTTTTGACCGGAATTAACTATAAATCCAGGATACATTCCATAGAAGTAAGCTGCTGTTTTGGTTTGGGTAAATGCTTCAATTTTTTATCCAATGAGAAGGCACGTAAGTATTCTGATATTGCTGGAGTATTTGCTTTAAAGTTATTTAAGAGCTCTTCTTATGGCCGATGTCTAAGTTTTCTTAGATGGGGCTCGGAAGTTCCCAATTATTTTTCCCCAAAGGCAGTCCTCATGCCTTTTGACTATAATGAGAGAAATCAATATGTTGTACGGTAGACTTTAATTTATTAAACGTAGTTAAGTTCAGTAACTTAAGTAAGTTGTCTCCAATTTTGTGATCTTTTGATTTTAAAAATTCGTCATGTAGTTTTTGACTTTCCTTCAACCAGTCTGCGATGTACTTCTTTTGGAAACCACGGAGACATGGTTTTCGGCGATTTCGGCGATGGCAATAACCATTCCTAGAAAACATTAATAATTGCCTTTGAATCAATGAAGCGAATGCAACTGTCCAGCACCTAGGTGTATTTTGGCCAGTTTGCTTTGTTAAAATTCCAGCAGGGGCTTGGAAGGGGTTAAACGATAGGAATTTGTATGCCTATTTTGATTATGATTGTTCAACGTTGCCTGTGAAGAAAACTATGAAGTACGGTTCGGAAGCTTGGTAATGGTTGCATCTGTGAGTTACTTGAAACCCAGCAAAGATCAGGGTTATAGCCTTTGTGCCATCTTCTAAAAAAAGGTGATTTAATTTTTTAGACTATGAATAAATTGTTGTCTTCAGCCCATTCCAGGCATTTTTCTCATGTTGTTCATTGTTTTTATATCTTCATTACCTTTATTATGGTGACTGTTTAAATCGCCACTCAACTCTTCTGGCGTAAGTTAATCTGGACCTGACTAGACAGGATTACTTTGCTGTAGAATACTAGAGTATTCTAAGATGGCTGGTTGCACCCCCACCTGCTATTATATGTATGTGTATACAGGGTGAGTCATGAGGAACTTTACTTACTTCTACCATATGTAGAGTCCCTAAGGGAGCATACCATGTGGCCACTAAAAATGTCAACTCCTCTTCTTTATTAATTAACAGGGTGATTTGTGTAATTGACCATTTATTTCATTTTACTGTAGTGTTTATACGGCTCATTTGATTTTTTTTAATTTTGCATGATACCATCAAGCATTCGACTGGTATTAGCTATTATTAGCTAAAAAAATTCCAGGAGTAGCTTTGGAAAAATTAATTTAGGGATTCGTATTAAATATTACACCCTATATATATATATATATATATATATATATATATATATATATATATATGTATATATATTTTAAATGCAATAAGTGATTTTTAAACTACATAAATAGCCAATGAAAACGACATATGCGACAATGTTGTCGCACTTTTATTAAATTTTTAGTGAACGATCAAATCTTACCAAAAATAGAACAACCATAATGAAGTATCAAATTATAAAGTATTAATTTAAACAAATGTTATAAATTTCAAACATTTTAATTAAAATGAGTTCCTACAACTTAATCTAATACGTAGAAAATTAACATCTTTACTGTCACTTATCTGTATTATCTCTACGATAGAATCAATTGTTTTTCAATTTTAAATTTTTACTCATGGATCGTATTAGTTCATTATTTTCGATAAATAATAAATTAAATTGGTTAAAAAGTCAAACCTCTTGTATGTGTTAGTTTTTGTTGATTGTAAATGATTAAAATTTTACGTCAAATAATAATACATTGCATCAACTGTACTAAATAAAAATAAATCTAAAAAAGTTTAAAATGAAGGTTGGCGTTGACCGTTTGTCGTTTCTTGATATTTTATACCCATTGTCATTATTGTCATTATCAATTGTTATTTATGTGTACAAGAATACATATTTCTTCTGTCATATCTACGTTAAGTACATTGTGTTAGTTTTGGTAGAGCTTTTGTTACTTTCGTTCAAAATGCCACATCAGTTTTCGACCACAGAATATGCAGACATAATATATGTTTATGGATTCTGTAATGGGAATGGTAGGGCTGCTAGTAGAGAATATCGCAGGAGATTTCCTAATTGTCGAACTCCCAGTTATGCAACATTTGGGTCAGTTTTTAAGTAGTTGCGAGAAAATGGCACTTTTCCTAGTGGAACAACAGAGCGACATGTAGATGAAGCGCAGGAAGATGACATTATGGACGCCGTTACTATGAACCCTACAATAAGCACTAGACAAGTAAGTGGAGAACTCAATGTTACTCAATCAAAAGTAAGTAGAGTCTTACAAAAAAAGAATCTATACCCATATCACATTCAAATGGTTCAGCGACTACATGCTGGAGATAAGATCGATAGGTTGGAATTTTATAGATGGATTAACAATAATCGACCAACGCTATACAGGACACTATTTACAGATGAAGCCCAATTTACCAGAGACGGGATAAATATTTCACGAAATTCACATGTGTGGGCAGAAGAAAATCCCCATGCTATTCGAGAACGTCGTTCTCAGTTAAGGTTTTCGGTTAACGTGTGGATTGGTGTCATAAATAACCAATTAGAAGGTCCTCACTTTTTTGATGGTCATTTAACAGGGCAGGTCTATTTGAACATCCCTCGGATAGCAACGTGAACGTTGCTATCCGAGGGATGTATTTTCAGCATGATAGGGAACCCCTACACTTTTTACTGGCAGTGAGTTCTAATTTATGGGTTTGTCATAACTATGTACATATTTTTAGTTTTTTTTTTTAAATTGTTCTTCGTTATTGTTAGTAGTTACTGTTTTTTGTTGTGCAGTGACTCAGTTTATCATTTCAATTAAAATGTTTGAAATTTATAACATTTGTTTAAATTAATTACCTTATAATTTGATACTTCATTATGGTTGTTCTTTTTTTGGTACGATTTGATCGTTCACTAAAAATTTAATAAAAGTGCGACAACATTGTCGCATGTGTCGTGTTCATTGGCTATTTATGTAGTTTGAAAATCACTTATTGCATTTTAAAATAAATATATATACAGGGTGTCATATTTAATACGAATCCCTAAATTAATTTTGCCAAAGCCAGTCCTGAAATTTTTTAGTTTAGCTAATACCAATCGAATGCTTGATAGTAGTGTACTGTATCATGCAAAAATTTAAAAAATCAAATGAGCCGTATAAACACTACAGTAAAATGAAATAAATGGTCAATTACACAAATCACCCTGTTAATTAATAAAGAAGAGGAGTTGACAATTTTTAGTGGGCACATGATATGCTCCCTGAGGGACTCTACATCTGGTAGAAGTATGTAAAGTTCCTCATGACTCACCCTGTATGTATGTGTGTGTTTGTGTGTGTGTGTGTGGTTGTGAGTGTATGTGTGTGTGTGGTTGGGATATTGATTGCGAAACTAATAACCTGCTATTGGTTGGTTTTCCGAAGATATTCTTTCTGGCTAGCACCTAATATTTTCTTGTTCAATTAGTCTTTGGTATTGATCTCAATATTAACACTTAATATTTTTAGATAGGTTTAATTGTGGCTGCCATAATAATTGTAATTAGCATAATAAATCCATGGATTTTGTTACCAACATCAATACTACTAGCAATTATGTATTATATGAAACATGCGTTCCTTGTATCAAGCAGAAATATTAAAAGAGTGGAAGCTGTAAGTAAGTGATAATATTTTAAAATATTCTTAAATTGTGCATACAGTGTGACCAATTTAGATTTATCTTTAATTTGTTAACCGACTTTATCCTTTATTTTTAAAATATCATGTAACAAAAGGTCTACTTTGAGAAAGAATTTAAAATGTTTATTTAAATTTCCAAGGCACACAACGATTTTTTCCTTAGTCAAAAATAGAGAGTTTATAAAAATTTTTTATTGAATAATTTCCTACAATACTGGATTTAGAGTACCTTTAAACGGCTATGACAAAAAATTCATTAAAATACATTTTTAATAGCGAAATTATGACAAATTAAAATGATTAAAACTAATCAAGCTACCAAAGAGTCACCACGGATAGGGGCTATGGTTATGAAGTTTTCAAAATAATTTGGTGACCTGTATGAAGATGGTGTTGACCTAAAGCTAAAATTGAATCGAAATTACGAACGGAAATAAAATAAAAGTTCATAAATCTTATTTTGGATTCTATTTTGGATTTATTTGACATATATACTCCATGTTGTTTATTTGGAATGTTTTTTGTATTGGTCAGACAAGAGATGAAAGTTTTTGTTCGGGGTAAATATTGTTTAAAACTTTTCGGATGATGAGGGTTTGAGTCTTTGGGTTTAGATTGAGTGGGAGATTAATGTCTGTAGATTCTTCCATTTATGTGATTTTCACAGTAACCTTTGGATGAAGAATTGTTTTAAACTAGAGAGCTCATCGGGTCTACTTGCACCATGGCAAATGTGTATTAATCTAAAGACAAGGGTATTAATGACTTAAATAATTTGTGAAGGTAAATGATGAGAGTTGACATGCAAGTAACGATTGGTATGGGTGGATTTTTGATAAACAGAGTGATGAAAACCTTGCTTGAATGGTTTTTATTTATGATAACGTCGAGAAACGGTAGGGGTGAATCGGTTTTCACATTTATCGTAAACTAGATATCAGGAAGTATACCATTCAGATAAACAATAAATCGTCTACATATCGTAGACAACATGTGGGTTTGACCATTGATTTGTATAGTCTTCGGGTCTTGAAGTCTTCCATAAAGGTATTCCCAACTACTGGAGATAGTGTAGAACCCATTGATGCACAATTTATTTAGTGAAGATGTAATAAGTGTTGGACATACAATGTTTAATAAGTGATAAGCAAGTTTGCTGGATTCTGTATTAAGTTTTCAGAATGGTAAAACAAACAACACAGTTTATTAGGGGTTTCAGTCAGAAAATTGGCCGGAATGTTAAAAAACACTCTTTTAACTTTTTGTCTACCTTTCGGAATGGTTTTATTCCTTTATGTAAATATTTAAAAAATATCACAATTCTTCAGTGTAACTTACCAATCGTTGAGATTATTCATAAAAGCATTGACACTCAACAAAATATAAAATTATTGACAAATTACTGCTATGTTTTAACTCTTAGGCATAGAGAACATAAAGTAAAAACAAGTGTTGTTTGTTCATATCGACAGTCACTCATATACAGTATTTCTTGTATATATATATATATATATATATATATATATATATATACAGGGTGGTGAATCGTCAAACGGGCCATAGGAAACTCAATGGGAAATTCTAAATTGTTGAATTCCTGCTTCCCTAATTATTTTACACCAAAAGTCATGGGAAACTATTTGTAGAGGACTCAAATATGTATTGAAAACAACTGTTAAAATTATTCTACGACTTAAACGTATTCCAAAATTTTGCTAAAATATAATACATTTTTCTGTGAAAAAATGTGTATTACGTGTTGCGTTTTGTCATATTATTGTTTCTGATATTTGACAATGTTTAAATGAATTATATTACATTTATCTATGATTTAAATGGCCAAAATTGTGTGATTTATTGTTAAAACAAATTAAGTTAATTAAAAAATGTACTCAGTTGAGAAGAAAAAAGCAATAATAAAAATGTTTATATTCATGTTTTATTATAACATTTGTTATAGTTTTATGTTTAGAAATTATCATATATTATTATTAGGAATAAAGATCACAGTAACAGTATATTGGAATTCATTGAATTGTTGTATAACTTAACTTAATATGGAATTAAATTTTAGTGAATTAGAGTATCTTACGTTAAATAAAGATCTGGTAGTGGCAGGAAAAGGTTCGCGCTATTGCCTGAATACAACATTATGCGATTTTTCGTCAACTGAGTACATTTCATTATATTGATCGATTTGTAAACAATATAATTTATTGTTCACAAAGTAATAATGTTCATTAGTAGTAGTATTTAGTAAAATTCATTGTTTATAATTTAATCATAAAATAAAAAAATTGACAATTCAAATTGTCAAACATCTGACATAAATATGATAAAACACAAACGTCCTAATATATATTCTTGCATTACGTGTGGCCTAACTTTTAGGGGTGGCCTGAAAAATGTATTATATTTTTGCAAAATTTTTAAGTACATTTGAGTCGTAGAACGGTTTTAACATTTGTTTTTAATTCAGATTTTAGTCCTCTACAAATAGTTTTTTATGACTTTTGATCTAAAATAATTAGGGAAGCAGCAATTCAACAATTTAAAATTTCTCATTGAGTTTCCTATGGTCCGTTTGACGATTCACCACCCGGTATATATATATATATATATATATATATATATATATATATATATATATATTGGTTTATTGGTTAAATATTATTTTTCTTACATTAATTGTTTTGAAGTTATTTAATTTTAGCTCGCAGTCCTATGTATACTCACCTTAATACATCATTGCAAGGTATAACAACGATACGAGCCTTTGGAGCACAGCAGCTTTTAATAAACGAATTTGATCGTTTGCAAGACAAATACACCGCTGCATTTTACACTTTTTTGGCAACTAGTAGGGGATTTGGCTTTTGGTTAGACATGCATTGTGTCGTTTTTACTGCATTGGTTGTAGTCAGTTTGCTTTTTGTACAAAAAGGTAAGATACAAATACTAGATTCTAGATAGATCAACTGTTAAATACATTGGTTACACAAACTATAGAATATATTGGTTTATCAAATAACACATTCTTTTCCTTCTTACGCTGCACTTATTTAGAATTTTTCCCTATATAAACAACTCTAATTATTAAATTTTATATATAATGTCCCAGACACTGTAATTTCTTTGTTTTAATCTTTAGTACTATCTTTTTTTTCTATTAGTACTATCTAATTTTAAAAAAGAAAACATAACAAAAGACTAAACTAATGTTGTTTTAATTCAGATATTGGGATTTGATGTGGGATTAAAGAACAAACGTTAGATAGTACTGATCGTTTACTGGAACTTGTCTATATTCCGATAGGAGTTGTTGATTTATTGTGATTTTTTCATTGCCATTATTAAAGGTGTTAACTATTTTTTCGTTAGTTAGGGATATATGTACATACTCTGTTATTTTATAATAAAAGACAAAATATAAACTAGTTAAGTATTGTTTTTTGGTATTTTTCATTTCGTCAAATAGTATAGCTTGTTTTCTTTATGACGTAAAACTTGGTTGATTAGGTCCAAAAAAATACGTTATAGTTGGTCTATTAAATCAGTTTGTATAAAGACATTTTAAAGTCCATTCGTTCATCTCGGGAATATTTTGACAAATTCATAGTCAGAAAACCACAACACAAAAATGTCTACCACAAACTATTAACAGTTCACTAAAACTTACTATTGCAGATTTTGTTTATTAAAAAAAGAAGAAATATTAGAGAAAAGGCTGCAAATATGGGCTAGTCTTGTAATACGGGGTAGGTAGGTTTGACAGCTATTCGTTGCAGATCTCTAAATTTTGACTATTGCAAACGGTATGTTAAGAAGCAGATCTAGAAACATCTTTAGGACAATTCGGTTCCCCAGGAAAAAATGATCGAGGAGAAAAGCTACTAGGATTCCTACTCCAGAATAACTTATTCAGCATGAACAGCTTCTTTCACAAAAAGATGCACAGAAGATGGACTAGGGAAAGTCCAAACGGTAGAACAAGGAACGAAATCGACTACATCATAAGTGATCAAAAACAAATAATTAAAGATTTAACAGTACTCAATAAGTTCACCACAAACAGCGACCACAGGATGATACGAGCGAAAGTTCAAATCAATATAAAAAGAGAAAGGAATATAATGATTAAAAATAAATTTCATGGTATCTGGACACCCCCATTAGATATCAACCAATATCAGACACAAATCAATAATAAGCTTCTATTGCAGGAAACCTCCGCTAACGATATTAACGACTTGAATAACTGCATCATAAACGCCTTACAAGAAAGTCACCGAGTGCACTGTCCTAAAAGAAAATCAGATAGTAAAATAAGTCCATATACTGAAACGCTCTTGGATCAAAGAAGACAAATGAGAAGCGATAAGAATGTAGATAGCAACACTTTAAGAAAAATGAACAAAACTGTTTCGAAAGCAATTAGGAGAGATTTAAGTAAATTTAATACCGATTATATTAACGCACTATAGAGGAAAATAACAGCCTAAAAGTTCTACGTAGAAAGCTAACGAATGGGAAATGCGAAATTCATAAATTAAGAAACAAGCAAAATGAACTAATATCACGTAGAGACGAGTTAATACAGGTCGTCGAAGAGTTTTACGAGGACTTATATAGAAGTAGACGAGAAGATAAAACAGGAATACAAACAGCCATTTCAAAGAAGATCAAGAATCAAGGTTCCGAACTAATGCCAGAGATAAAGCTAGATGAGATGCGACAAGCATTAAGAAAAATGAAAAATAACAAAGCCCGAGGAGAGGATGGAATCGTAATAGAAGCTATCGTAAATGGAGGAGATATGCTATTAAATAAGTTAAGGAAACTATTCAATCTATGTTTGCAGCAAAGAGAGGTGCCCAAAGAGTGGAACAATGCTACAACCATCCTTTTGCATAAAAAAGGAGATAGAACGGACCTAGAAAATTATAGACCTATTAGCCTGTTGAACCACATATACAAGCTCT